GATTTTTAATATGCTTATTAAAGTATTTCAATTATTTTAAATTTATCTTATTATTCGTTCATTTATTAAATATAAATTTAAAAATTTATTCTATAAAAAGATTCATTTCGATGTATTAATTAAAGAGATGAATTTGTCCTTGAATTATTAGAAATAAGGGAATAGTTTTACCCTCTTCATTTCTGTATATTATTATTATAGCCCATTCTCGATTACCTGGTTGTATTACCTTACTTCTACTATTTCGCTTAATATTAATTACTATTATTATTATATATATAATCCTTATTATAAAGTCTATTTCATTAAAATTATAGAAATCTTTATTCAAAATACTATATTTAACTTATATATTTATAACTAATCGAAACTATTTTTCAAAAAGTTTAGGATTTTTATAGAAAACTTTTTGAAAGTTATAAATACAATTAAAACATATCTTTAATTCGATTTGACATTTTACAAATCGATATACTCAAAACTTTTTAATATGTTTTGTACCCCTCAATTCAAGAATATAATTTATTATATCTTTTATATTCTTAAGTTTAAATAGAAAACCTTTCGAATCCATATTAATTATATATTCAGAAATGATATTCTCTTCTAATTCTAAAAGATTATAAAATTTAGATCGATATTTAAAGTGAAGGGTAAAACCTTTAATTCTATACTGTAATGTTGTATTCGAGATATTATATATTTTCGTAACTTTTCGAATACTTATTTTTTTATTTTTCTGAATAGCTTCAATAGTGAGGAGTATACAAGCTTTTTAATTATTCGAATTTATTATGAATTGTTGATAAAATATGTATTGAAAGAGAAGAGTGTAAATTGAGATGAAAGTAATCTATTCATTAATATAATCTACTCACTAATAAATCATATTATCAGATATTATATTTACAAATCCGAAATACTTAGATTGGGTAAATAACAATAGTAAATTCACCTGCAGAGGAAAGGAAAGGGGAGTGCTTCACCGGAAATACATCATAATGACTCGGCATTCATAAAATCACAGTTACTAAACACGTAAACAAATGAATCTAGATGAAATCTCAGTATAATTGTACTCTATCTATCTCATCTCTCCAATCTTTCTCCCCAAAAGCCTCTCCTCTAAAATGATTCTACAATCGGCACCAAAACAAGAAAGGTATCGTCAGGGTGGCAAAAACAAAAGAAATTCGTTAGTACGCGAGAAGTATCCTTTAAAACGATTTGCAAGGAAAGGAATCGTAAAGTCCCGTGTGTATATAAAATTCAAAACAACGTCCACTTCTCTCCCCCTTTTCACATCAACCCACAAACATCATCCGAGAATCAGGACTCAACAACCCCCAAGCAACCAAATCGCTCAAAACGAAGCAATCCTCAAGAACCAACTTTTATGTACCTACCACCGAAACCACCCAGAAGATTGATATACCATCCCCTTTCCTGCCTGACCCAACCCATCCCAAAACCCATACATTCAAATCATGCCAAACCTCCCATGAGGTATAGCATATCTTTTGACCAGCAAAAAAAAGTAAAGTCGCTAAATCGCAGCACCAAAGTTTTGATCGATATTAGGTACTTCCAAAAACACAAAAGAGTGGAGTGTTCGTAAGTCCGTAATTATTCCCATGAAACTCCCGTGAAATGACAAACAAAAGAAAGGGTCGAGATGTTATACATGGGGTGATTTGAATGTAATATAGCCTACATTACAAGGCTTTTGGTTCATAGGCTGGGGGAGCATCATCTCCATTGCTTGACGTAGACCAGAACCCTTGACGAGCTGCTTTGTCATCATGTTGACGGCGAGCGAGTTCGGAAGCCATCTTCATAATCCAAGCTTGCTCGAGAATTCCTGATGGTGATTCGGTTGTCGAGAAGTGAAGACCATGTGGGTATGAGAATGGCGTATGTGGTGGACTAGTCGCTGTCTTCTCTGGAGCGTATGAAGTGAACGCTGATTGATTATAAGCGGAACGCTTCTGTTGTTGCGTACTGATTGGAGTAGAAGGTTCCACAGTGAGTGTTGGTACTTGATCCATTTTGACTTGTTCAGGAGTCATAGAACGAGATGGTTGGAGTTTCTTTGGTGAGTCTCCAAGATCAATACTATTGAATCGTACCTTTCCTGATGGTGGAGTGACTGGAAGATCTTCTGGCTCCTCTGGAATACGAGATGGAACAGTTGATTCGGATGCTGCGGTCGTCGAAGCGGACTCACTTTCGCCACTCTCACTACTCTCCGTAGTTTTGGGTTTTCTCAAGTTCACCACTCTATTCTTCTTCTTCCTCGCAGGATGTGATCTTGAACCTCGATTCGCACCAAGACTTAACCCTGTTGTGGCCGAATGCATATTGACCAAAGATGGTCTAGATGGTATGCCACCGTGACCGTCATCGGAGTTTCGATTTGAGAATGTATAAGTTGTACTTTGACCTCCGAGCGATGATTGAGGCCTATGAAGAGATGTGGTTGCTGGTGTGGTAGTTCCAGCCGAATCTCCTCTTTCAGAAGGTGCCCATGCTCGGAATACCGCATCTCGAATAGAAGGAGTGAAAAGTGACAATGTTCGATGAGAGTTGGTGAGTGCCGCCAATCGAAGTAAGTTCTTTTGTGAGAACAAGGAGTGGATCTCTGATCCGCCGTCTAATGATAAGTTCGAAATCTCAGTCGCATCTAGAACGTTTCCACGGGCATCGACGGCATCTTGTGGTGGACTTGCAAATGGGTCTATCGCTACCTCGTCTTTCGCTTTCTTCGCCGCTTCGGCCATCTCTTGATCTTCTTTTGCTCTATATTCTGGACACCATAATCTCAATGAGAGTCTGTGAATGATAGCAGGCAATTCATCCATCATCAAAGTCCTCAATTGTTGCTCAATTTCCTTTTGTAAATAATCCTTAATGAACGGTATCGAGTCAAAGGTAGAGGAGACCTTGAGGGATTCGAGGGGATCATTTCGAAAGACCAAGGTTAATCCCTTGGACTTTGAAAATACCACAATGATAAAAGCCGATAATTTAATATCCGACAAAGTAATTTGTAATGGGATGGTGAGCCCCGCATCTGCGGCGAGGGGTTGTGGAGATGTGAATGAAGGTTTCGAGAACAAATGATTGTTTAGCGGATTAGCCTATATTGATATATTAGCTATGCATTATAGGTTTATGTCAAGCATATGGGATATGCAAGCTGGGTGGTGAAATTGAAACGCGATTTCCTCTCTATACGCGTCGACAGTTCTGCAGTGACAACTCATTTATCGTTCGAGTGGAACGTTCAATCGAAAGTGGGAGAATGAAGGTTTTTGCGGAATCGGTAAAATGTCAAGTGTAACGACAACGACGACGACGGGGGCGACGATAAGGACAGAAAAGACGACAATAAACGTACCTGAACTCTTGTTTTCAAAGTCAAGAACGCATCCCCAGAATAGCACATCTTGAAGATTCCCCTAAATCTATCTTCTGCCAAGTCCCCAATCTCCAATATTTCCAAATCGGGCGGGACCGAACCCAAATTCAATTCGTTGACGAGAATATCATCTTTGATGATGGGAGGCTTGGGAGATTTATTGAGAGCTGCCGTGAGCATCTCTTGAGCTCTTTGATAAAATTCCGCATCTGCCGTGAGGGGCGACCAGTTAAAATTGAAAGCCATGTTGATATGACATTAGATGTCGACGATCACAGCGTTCCTACGCAAGAGGAGGTCGTCGTTTGAGGAGGTATCGTCGATGTCGATGAAGTTCGTGAGTGATTTGAGCTTACTGGAGCTTCATAGAAGGAAATGTCGACTCGAGAGATATTTTGATGGATTTGATCGTGCGAGCAAAAAAAGGATGATCGTGTGACGTAACGGTTGATGTTAATCCTCTTAGTTTCTATCGAGAAAGAAAGAAAGAAAGAAGAAGAGGATGAAGGGTTTGAATTTATGATATGAATATGAACTTGAACACAAGAAGATCAATGTTCAATGTGATTGTGATGGTGATGGTGGTGTGTATGTGTGTGTATGTGTGTGTATGTGTATGTTGTATATGGGAGGACAAGAGATGGTTCCTGATTATAAAAAGTGATAGTGATAAGTGAAGCTCCTGGTCGATAGGTAGTAATAATTTTTTCAATTCCCGCATTTCTCCCTCTTCTAGATTTTCTTTCGAGCTCGCTTCCTGTAACCGTATGAACTACAGTATGAACCCTGTGTCCCTTTTGCCTAGCTAATAATAAGGGAGGTATGGAATTTGATTTCCATTTTTCCGATGTCCGGAAATCCTGTTGATACGACAGAAGCATCTGGGTAATCATATCCATGGGAGAATTTGGTTGGTGGTGGTGATTGTGTTATATATTAGGTAGGTAACTAGTCATATATTATACTCGAGTATATATCGTTATCTTATTGGATCTTGAACATTAGTCTACCGGTATTAACTATCTATAACTTCTGATCATAATACTCAATATATTAAATCCCCGATTTCCTTGTACTATTTTTTTTTTTTTTTTTTTTCTTTCCCCTCACTTCACTAGATTTACACTTCACTAGATTTACACTTCACTAGATTTACACTTCACTAGATTTACACTTCACTTGATTTTACACTTCACTTCAACTCAACTCACAGACTCAAGTGTGCTCTGACCACTCTCAATCCCATTCATTCATAATATAAGACCCCGAACCATTTATTTATTTGTTTATTTATTTCTTCCTTCTCTCCTCGGCCTCCCGAACTCCTCCACTGAGTCCACTGAGTCCACTCCCATCACCTCGTAACAAACAACCCGAAAAAGAAGAAAATTCTATTTCGATTTCGATTTCGATTTCGATTTCTATTTAAAACCCATCAAGGAATTTCCCGGAAATTGAACAGACTGGATCCCGGAAAATCATCGTTACTGTCTCGCATCAATTATCCGATGGTAATTTCCTTGCATAACTATTAATTGATCATGTATATTAATATTCACCCTCTCACACCCTCACACCCTCATACCCTCACACATTCTCATCCAGCATCACATACGGCAAAATATCTTGGCCATGGCATCCCCCCACAATTCCTTTCGTCCCATGTATCTTTGATTGACATCGGACTTTTATTACAACCTTGAACATTGATCACCACTTGTCTTGCTTCATCTGATCATTCCCACACTTCAGTCCTCAATATATGAGATGAATTGATGACAATGTTGGTTTTGACGCTGTGTGATCAAGAAGAGCATTGGAGATATCTATAGAGAATGTAAAGTCACTTGATATTCTCTATAGATATAGCTTCTCGGTCAAAAGATCTGTATTTGATGGAGTCCATCTTCTGCTCCGCATCTTCTCATCTTCTCACCTCCTCTTACTCTTCAAACGAACATGGATACTCAATCATATAGAAAGTTTTATAGATTTGATAGCCTCATTTCTCTCTTCATGCAGCATCGATCTTTCCGCTTCAAGGTCGTCCCTTCAATTGTCGCCAACCTGAAGGGTTCATGGTGATTGCGGAGAAGGCATGAAGTGTTGTTATGTGATTTGCAGCAACAACACAACATACTACCAGAGTACACATGATTATCCCCATCCATAGCATCGATGATCTTAAGACTTCACCTCCGTCGAGGGGAGTCTCCAGCAGAAACGTTGGAATATAGTGAAGAAGATGTCTTCCTATCTCCATCTTCTCCAGTGACAATAGATTGATGAATCTCGACAACACTCATACACTTCCATCTTCCAAATTTCAATATGTTGACAGCATTCCTTTTTTTTTAAGCATCATGATAGCCAACCATCTCATTTGATCTCACTTCTTTTCCTCAGTCTCTATTCGAGTCGAGATTACATTCGACCTGTGGGCTATGATTGAAGCTCGAGACGCTCAATGTTATGATTCCACCCTTCTTATCATATGGTCTTCATATAAAGATGCCCATATACGATTCGATCCAAAACTTCAGAACTTGATATTACCTCACTGTTGGGTAATGTTGCTATGGCATTTTTCAATACATTCTTACCATTATTTGACTCCATCTCCCTCTTCCTCTTCATCTCCTTCTCCATCTGAATTCTCTAGTCAGAATTCCTATCATGTTTCATTTCCCTATAGGCTGTTATCTTTTCTCCAATACATCCATATCTACCATTTCATCCCAACCTCTTGACTCAGCTTGTATATTCCTCCACCACTAAAAGTCCAAGCGTCATTTGCGCTTAAGCTAAATCTTGATTACGGCGAACGGAAGAACCCCGATATGACGCATTACTGATTATTACTAAGTTTCATTCGTCCCAGTTATTTCATAAGACCCAATCCGGTTTCTACTCTTCATTTGTTCCACTCATTTCTCAGTCATTTCTCAGTCATCTTTTCCCCAATTTCCATTCAAATTCATTTGATTTAAATCCTGATATAATGAATAATATATCATTTCAACCTTATCGTCTCCCCAACAGCCATATCAGTATTAAAGTTCTTGCAGAAGGGGCTGCAAATGTTATATATCAAATCACGGTTGATCAAGGATCACAAGACATTGCCGAAGTGAACAAGGGTCATCAAGAATTAGAATATCTCTCTGGTAATTCTTCCCACACTCCTTATGTTACAAATGATATTGAAAAATATATCTTTATGCTTTGCTTCCTGGTTATGATATTACCATTGTACTAAATGGTATCCAGGAAAATTATTACGTCTTCGAAAAGATGTTCCCACTACAGCCCCAACTTCAGATTCACATCAGCAATGGCTCGGATACATCTTACCCCTATTCAAACCAGAACAATTGGTTACTCAAGAATTGATCTACATTGGTCATCTCAATGTGATTCCTGGATTGAATACCGATCTCAGACGATTTGATAATCCTGGTGGTACATCTACCTCGAATCATCTTGCCCCACCACCAAAAGGGAAGTTTTATCGTTCAAGAGCACAAAGTGGTACTTTCTTAGCGAAAGACGACTATGGCCTTTTGGTGACGGATATGACACCTAGTAGGTTGATAGCTTTTCTTTCGTCACCGCATATATTGATAGATTCACAGGGAAATCGTTGCAGGAAACCGTCGTCGAATTCAAACCAAAATGGCTCTCTCCATCTCATGAAATGCCACCTCAAGCCATGCGTTGTCGTACGTGTGCACTTCACGCACGTCGGATCGCTTTTGGAGAAGAAAGAAAGAATACTGATCTCCAATCATATCTTTGTCCTCTCAAACTTACCGATGATCACCCTACGTTAAAGTTCGCAAATTATGAGGCATCGGCTTCCCACATTTTACACAAAACTCGTGAATCGCCTGCTGTTCAATCACTTGCAAAATGGATCCACGAAAATCCTTTACTAAAACGACTTCGCGATCTCCAAACAGAGTATGATCGTAAAGGATCCTTGAAGTCGGAAAAGGCATCTCATGAACTTTGCGTGGCGATGACTCTGAGAGATTGTTCGTTATACATTCGTATGGATAAGAATTTACAGGTTATAGAAGCTCGTTTAGGAGACCTTGACTATAAATCAGCTAGTAAATATTCTTCGTGGAGAAAGAAAGAACAGGAATTAGTTAGTGAGGGGTGGTATTGTGGTGAAGAAAAGAAGGAATTGAAACAACCGGTTGACGAGTGTCTGTTGTCGAGGAAGATTTGAGTTGTATGGAATTACTTCTGGTGGTGTCGGGTCTAGAGACCGTCTCTCGTAGGGAGTTCTAATGGGTTGGAATTCCATATTGATAGAGTCGGTTCGAATATTGCGGCTGCGGTCTGAAAATCGAGAGCTCTCAATATCCGAAGACAACTAAAGATTTGAGGTGTGATCAATCGCTTCGATCAATTAAATCTTCTGGTCATATTCGGCAGGCGATAGATATGATCGTTAGACTGCAGTCGTAGCATCGGACACCCTAAAAGATCGAAGTTCGTGCGATTGGGGATAATGTTTAATGGAGTTTGATATAGATGGCTGGGATCATGGGCTAGATAATATTAATGACAAAAAATCATCTTTTAACATTCTGAATTTAACGTTTTCGCTGTGAGAGGTCTGCTGGAAGAATAAGAGTATTTTCGATACCTTTGTGTAATTGACAGAAAAGACAAAGGGCATGAAACTTGTATTTCTTTTCAGCCTCATAAGTATGAGTGTTAGTTCGTAATCCATATAGTGGGTGGCAGTGATTCGAATCTCACGTTGCGCGTGGGTATGCATCATAAACTATGTATGCATGGGATGCTTGACACTTGAGAGATGGTTTCGAGAGGAACCATTTGCATGGTTGGAGTAGAGGGCCGCGAGAAGATCGTCTTGTCGTCGGTCGAGATTTCATCGGAAAGTGGGTGTGGGTGTGGGGGACAAGAGAGATGTTTTCTTCTGCGTAGAAGTACTGTGGTTTGGATTTATCAAATCTGTTTCATTATATACGGTGTGATTGATGGGGTAGGGTTTTAGATGTAAGATTTGATGTTAAGATAGAGGAGGGGATGAGGGGATGAAATTGTGGTAATGAGGATAGAAAAGTAAACATAAAGATATAATATAACTAGAACAATTCAAAGTGGTACAAGGATATAAGTGTATAAGGAACATGAGATAAGGAGGGGGAAATTAGAATAACAAATGTAATACAGATGTGCGTTATATGTGAAGGCATAAGAAGCAGAGGAGATTAGGAATGAGGAAATAGGAGGAGAAGTGAGAGTGTGAGGGGTTGAAAGTAATCATGAGGTGGTCTTGCAAATTAGGACAATCCCGAGATTTATCATGCACTCCTATCGTGACTCCTATTCTCAGTCCCTTTTCAATTACACTCTCACTCCCACTTCCACTCTCAGGCTCAGGCTCAGGCTCAGACTCAGACTCAGACTCAAGGGCTCGTATATAGTGAGAGTATTGTATGTGATAGGATGACTGATTATTTGAGTAGGAGTTGGGATATATGTATGAGATCTATGTAAACCTTGAAAGGGAGGAAAGGGGTGGGGGGCTAAAAGGGATTCTTGTTTTATGTTTTGATGTAGGTAGGTAGGTAGGTAGGTATTTGATATAGGGGGGTTATATATATATTATTAAGCATTGAGATTCACGAATCAGGAACCGAACATACCAAAATACACACTGAAATAAAATTAGAGTTTAGAAATTTTTTACATGAAGGGTTTCTTTTCTATATCTAATTCCTATTTCTTCCCACCTATCAGGACCTACCTACATGCAAAGAGTCCGAAACAATACAGCAGCCAGCTGACGCGCAATCATATAAAAGTATGAGATACTTTGATTCGAGGGGGGTGAATAAGATTGGGGGTTTTCTCGGGGGAAATTGGGATGGGTGTTTCGATGTTATGGCACATTGAGTGTCGAGAAATCGGAAGCATCAAGAGATAAGTTTGATGATGATACTTTGTTAAGTGAAGTGCGCTATGTAGTAGTCTTGATTTCAATTTCAATATCAATACCTACCGTTTCTTCATTCTATCTTCACCCTATATATGAAAACGCAGAACCATGAAGAAATTTCAAAGATACGTCTGCTTCCCCCTCTTTTTTCTTCTCCTCTCTCATTTCATTTCTCAGTCCCAAGACCCTTATATTCATTCGCGTAGGACTGTTGGTGGATGGATAGATAGATGGATAGAAAGAAAGGAAGAAAGGGAAGAAGGTTTATGTCAGTGTAGGCAATAGAATACTGTCAGGGATGATTCACTTTACCACTAATCCATAAAAGCATGGAGTGTTCCGCATGCTACCGGAACAGTGGATCTACTATATATACCCAATCAGGTGATCGCTCCCTGACATATACTATAGTAAAACGTTAGCGCGTATAAAGCTTTTAATACAATAGATAGTGCGTATTAAAGAAATATAAACTTATTGTCATACATATTACTTGAATAGGTATATACAAAGATATACAATAAAACTGAAATATAAAAACCTAAAAATAAAAAAATAATATTGAAAATCGAGACTAATTTCAATAAAGCCTAAATAATAATAAAATACTATTTAAAAGAGTGAATTCTATCTTTTATTCATTTAAATTCTTAAATTCTATATTATCTTTTATTTATAAATTAGAATCTAATTTTAATTTTAAGCATTTTATTTTTTCAATAATTACAATTTGAAGTTCATTACATCTTATAGTAATAATAACCTTTATAAAAAAGAATAAGTATTTAATAAAGACAAATATACTAAAGATATTAAATAAATTCAATATCACTTTATTTAAATTGAAATATACTTGTTGTTGTATAAAAGTAAATTATTATTTGTAAGGATTTTAAATATATTTAAAAGAGGGAAATAGTAAGATATTTTTTATATTTGTTTATTGAATAATGAAATACCTTTTTAGTTTATAAATATATAATTAATGTATTAAAAAAGATTTTTTTGAGTATTAATTAAAATGAATCTTTGAAATCTAACTTATATTACTGTTACGGGAGCTGCCTCTAGGGTCACGTGGAAGTGTCTAGAGATCTCTCGAGGTGGTTTAGACTAGACTTCAAGTAGGAATTCAATAAGGTTGTAACTGGTTGCAATTCTCGTAACTATAGTAATGAAACTAATGATTGTTCTTGAGCACGAAGCTCTATATTGTAATGAAATCCCATTCCCTTATATAGACCTTCGTTCTCTGTTGTCCCACTGCTTCCCACTGTGTCCCACTGGGCCTTACTCAGTGGGACTCAGTGGGACACCTTGGTCAGGTGATATTTTAATCAATCTAGTCATGTGACGACCTCGGTCGTAACAATTACTCCTTTCAAAATATATTATTGAAATCTAAAAATGATCTTAAATTTGTATATTTCGATTTATTTCGTATCAAGTTTATTTCGTATCAATTAGAAATCCGTATTCCTATATCTTATTAGTAGTATTCAATATTATTCAATATTACAATAATATTGAATATCTTTAGTAATATTGAATTCCATATCATGTACATACATATTTCGAAAAAAATAGATATACACCATTAAACTAACCCGTATACGAATTACGGGAAATACTATTGCCTACACTGGTTTGTATAATATATTACTTGAGCTTGTGTTTGTGCTTCTATGTATTGAAAGATTGAAAGATTGAAAGATTGAAAGATTGAAAAACTTTATATATATTTGTATATGCATATATATAGATTTAGCAATAGTGAAATACTCTGGAGGGAGAGAGAAAGGGTTGTTGCGTAAGATTGTAAATCGGGGATGGAAGATGGTGGTTTGTGGAGCACGGATAGAGAGGGGGTCAGGGGAAATGAGGAGCGTGGCGTATAGAACGACGGACTGTGTGTCTTTGGAATATCTTTGACCGTTGAATTTGTCAAGGTTCCGTAGTATAAGAAAAGGATGAGGAAATGAATTGTGATTGGTAGAGATTATTACAGCGTATACGCTATATAACTATATCATCTGACTGATTCTCATGGATTCTTCCACTATACGAAGACCTTTAACAAAAACCTCGGTGCGACAATTTTCTCGCTGGGCTCGAAGATATTGTTCTAGGGATGAATATTCCTGTCGAATGCTCATTGCTGAGGAGCAATGTACATTGGTGTAGTGGTAACCTTGGGTGAAATCATCTCTCTGTGCGTAGAGAATGGAGTATGAGTACATATCTCTTCTTCTATCATGAAACCCTCGATCTGCGCTTGCTGGATGAATTATGTAGCCTGAATACTGTGGGATGGTATCGCAAAAAAAAAGAGCTGGTGTATGCGTGGTACTAATGATATCAGTGTCCAAGCATGGAGCAAATACTCAGGAGATGGTATCGCAGTACACATATTCCAGGGCCCAGCGATGAAATCATCGTGTTGGGGTTTTGTAGAAAGTTTGTGTGCGGTATGAGGTCTTTTCTATCAAGGCAAATCATATAATTATATGGTAAGATTGTAAGATCGTATTGCAATATGAGGGTATGAGAATCATTGAATGATATGAATTGGTGTAACAAGGTCTGAAAAGGGGGGGTCACAAGAGGTAACCCCTTTGTATTTGCTCTCCTACTCCCAGGCATATGGGTTCTAAAACAACGTGGGCGCCAGCTCGCATACAATTTGATCTCCTGGGAGTATGTATTACTGATGTCCGAGCAAGAAAACATGTTTCGAATAGTTGAGATTCGTGTCGAAACATATTGTAGAAAGTGGAGATCAATGTGGGTTGCCTGAAGACAAAAGTATCTAGCAATCTAGAAATCAGATGACAATTGAGATGATAGTACTCCATCCAATATATAGAACAGTCCCTCAAAAACCCCTCCCATGATAAGATCGAATTCATGGGAATAGCGCGTAGTAGTATAGAACGACACTCTCAAAACTGCCATTATTCTAATGATCAAGACCGAATTCTAACCGAATTCTATATATAAGTTCCAACAGAGAAGTGAGACGTTTCCCATCCGAGAATAATCGATTGTCAATACACCATTTTCGTAGCTTTCCTGCCTCATGTGCGTCGAACGGTCGGGGACGTTTGCCTAAAAGTTTATACTTGAGTGTACTTCTAGCTGTCCAGATAAAATTATCAGGATATGAATAGTGGCCCGACTCATCTAAAGAAAGATAAAGAACTGCACGGCTGAGTTTTCGATACATAATGTACGAAACATCACTCCTGTATTCGGGTCCAAAGAGTATCTTGAAGTTTGCTCCACAATCTTTTCCGGCCATCACCATGGACATGATTATTTCTCCCAAATGCATCTCCAGACAGTCCTTTTGAGGAAAAATCCCGATCTCATGCGCCAAATGCAGTATTCGAGGAGTACGGAGGATAATTCCAGATCTGAAGTGATCAAGGCTTGAAGAGGCAATATGTTGTGCCTGATATATAGGTTGGGTGTGAAGTGCTCGAACAGCTAGTGCATTCGCATCTCGATTCTGCTCCCTTCTAACGTGCCAGAGCTGGATATTGAGATCACCTGAAAGTAGTCCGATCATGTGATGGATGCGTAAAATGAGATCTTGATTTGCCACTGGCTTCCCCTCTACTGTTCTGAATCCGTTCTTCAACCAGATTGGGAGCCACGAAGTAAGACAGTCATGTACGAATTTGGAATCCGTGATGATGATTACTTCTACTTTAAACGAATGGTAGATTGACATGGGCTGATCGGAGATCCATTCTCTTAATTCGCTATGATGTTTAAGGAGCTCGAGTGCACGAAGCATGGCCATCAACTCTGAATAATTGCTCGTATGTGTTTCTCCAGATGGTCTAGTGATAGTATCATAAGTATTGAGAGGCGAGTTTGGACCAAAAAAACGCCAAAGGAGGATTTTTCAGCGCGTGTGGTTCCATTGCCAGGACAAGCACCATCAATTGCTAGCACTAATGCTCTTGGGGGGCAAATTCCGGATTCGTGATACAGAACGTCAGCTTCAGGATATTCCAAGTATGGCATCCCACTGCCTTCATGGTATTTCACGATATCCTTGGGAGTCACTAGAGTGCCGTCGGAGAACAATTGGCGGGGATCAAATGACCGAGCTCGAGGATGAATCTCTTGATCTTTAAGAGATTGGAATTGATTGTGCGTCTGTGAATGAGAGTTTTTCATCTTGATGCCTGAGTTCTTGTATGTTTGTGATATTGTACGGGAAAGTGATGGTGAAACTCTGGTCTTTTTGATTATTGTTAACATCTGATTTAAGGTTCAAGGCTAATGTATGATAGATATATTAGAGATAGGGTCACTCTGCAACTCCGGCGCTAGACAGAAGATACGCTTAGCGATGTCGGTATGAAGGGGCCAATAGAATCCACTGCTTCTTTGAATTCCACTATATTAAATGGAGATCTGGCAAAAAGAATCAACTGAATGGTTTGCTTGTGTCAGCACAAATATGAATGATTAAGTCGGGTACCCCACTTTCGGGCCACTTCTCTTTTAGGCCACCTTAAAAATTTATATTATATAATATTAAAATATTAATTATTCAATAATTATTTAGTATTATAATAAATGCTTGAGGATATACTTTTATTATTATTATTAATATCTTCTATATCAATTTTACAATTTCCCATTTCAATTTACACCTTTTTAATCTTTTTAATTTTAGAAAACTTTGAATTTAAATTAGTTTTCATTTTACATTTCTTTTTAAAAACAATTTATTTTAATTGATACTCTAATTGCTTTATTCGATACTTAGATTATAGAATTTTATAATTCTTAGTATTGAATCCCTTAATAATCTTTTTAAAAAGCTAATAATGAGTATAAAAATTAGTTTTTTTACTTTAAAGGAATATATATATATATATATATATAATTTTAAATTACTAGCTTTTTGAAATATTTTAAAAATTGAAATTGTAGACTTTTTATTTCATTGATATACAGAATCATTAGAAAAAGTAAATTCTAATTTATAACTTTTTTATTACTATTCTTAAACAACAATTTGAATATAATAGTGTTACAACGGATTAGTAACAAGCTGTAGAATCACCAACGTATAGGCTATAATGGTATTATAGGCCTCAGTGATTCAGCTGCAGTATACCGGGGGACACTAGGCACCCAAGGAAAGCCTCAGGCATGTATATAGTATTAGTCATAGGATATCCTAGAAGCGTAGGATACAGTTCCTAGGACAATAGGTCCTAGGAAACACCGAACATAACTTTGCAAACTTTTCGCGAAGTTATATTAGTAAGATCCCAGGGGGTTAGCCCCAGGATAAAAGGATAAGCTAGGACAATAGGAATCACAGGACAAGTGTCATGTGATCAAAAGCCGATCGACTTATCGATCGACTTGCCGATCGACTTGTCGGTCGACTTCAGTACGAAGGTCTATATAGGGAATGGGTTTCATTACAATGTAGAGCTTCGTGCTCAAGATAACAATCATTAGTTTCATTACTATAGTTACGAGAATTGCAACCAGTTACAACCTTATTGAATTCCTACTTGAAGTCTAGTCTAAACCACCTCGAGAGATCTCTAGCCACTTCCACGTGACCCTAGAGGCAGCTCCCGTAACAAATAGGCTTAATGTAATTTAAAAGTTATAAATCTAAAGCTTTTTATTTAACTAGTATATTATACTTTATTAAATTATTTAATTATACTTTCTAATAGTATATAAGGAAATTAATCTTTTTAACTATTTTAGAATTTAATAAAGAGACTAATTTATTAAGATAATGCCTATATACTTTTTTAAAAGATAAAAAAATAAATAAATCAAAAGACTTGTTACGCCGGTCCACCCTCGGTACCGCGTCACATGACTCTTAGCACGTGATGGACCCTGCATGACAGGCATAACGGAATGTAGGTCCATACAGACCAAAGGTCCAGGACCTCTCTAGGTCCTGAACGCTCCAGTACAGTACGAAGGTCTATATAAGGGAATGGGATTTCATTACAATGTAGAGCTTCGTGCTCAAGAACAATCATTAGTTTCATTACTATAGTTACGAGAATTGCAACCAGTTACCAACCTTATTGAATTCCTACTTGAAGTTTAGTCTAAACCACCTCGAGAGAACTCTAGACACTTCCACGTGACCCTAGAGGCAGCTCCCGTAACAAGACTATAGAATATATAATATATATAGTGAAAGGAATAAGAAGTGTATATTATGCTTAAAGCATTTATATATAAATTTAATAGTTTTATAACTTTTATACTTGTTTAATATAAGGAGTTTCAGCTTATCCGATGAGGGGGGGGCTATTTGAGGTATAAAGACCTTTTTAAGTCATTCTAGGATAGTATCATTTATAGTCCACCTATTATCTATAGCAATAAAATATCATCTTTTATAAGATTTCAAATCAGTTAGAAACTATTATTGTTATACTAATTTCTCCTTCAATATAATAAAAGGATTAAGAGCTCTTTTTATAGCTAAGATATACTTTATAAGTAATATCTAAGTTTTAGAACTAAGCTCCTTTTTCTAAATAAAATAATGTTCTAAGCTTCTCAAAACTAATTCATTTAATTCTTAGTCTTTTTATATACCTACTTTATTCATATTATAACAATATTGAGATTTAATATAATAAATTAAAAGTAAATCCAATTTTGGAAATTATTAATTAATAATATTGATAGTTATATTTTTAATATATATTAAATCAATTTTAATTTATCTTTTAATTTTAATCTTTAAATTCCTTTAAAGAAAGTTTTATACCTATTGTTTTCCAAATGTAAAATCACTTTTTTTTAATATCGAGGAGATACCTCTTAATTTTATAAATTTGTTAATATAAAATTAATATTTAAAAACTCTTAAACTAATATTTAATCTATTAATCATTTCTTTTACATTAGAACTATCTTTTACATATATTATACATCTTTATTATAAAATAAATGATTATTTATATGATTTTAAAAAGTAATTCTTGAAATCTTATAATTTAAAGTAACTTGTTGAATTAAATGCCTATTCATTATCATATATAAAATCGAATTAATATTAACTTTGATATATATCTTAAATATAATATAAATAATAATATATTAAAATTTTAAATCAATTAATTTAAGAATTATAAAGTTATTAAAGATTTAAGATGAAATTTTTTTTTTATGGTAAGCTTTTTTAAAGTGGTCTAAAAGAGGGGTGGCTTGAAAGTGGAGTACCCGATTTATGCCTCTTTCATGTCAAGCACTAAGGAGCTTTCCCATAATGGTTGAATTCTGTTGAGGCAGGAGTTGCATACTTTCTGGCCCGACGAATGATTGACCCCACGAAACAAAATGTAGGCTAATTATACAAATCGGAATTGAGCACTATAGACGCGTTGAATATTTGAATATTGAGAAAGAGTGTCAACGATTGAGTTTCTCGTGGAGAATCTTTCGATTCGTTGTATAGAGAGTAAGAGAGCTATGGTTGATGAAGTAAAGAGATCATTCCATGAAGTGAGGAGGTCGGTTGAAAGGTAATTAGCGTGGTTCGGTTCTAGCGTAGACTGACAACGGCAGGTTCTCTTGGTACCTGACCTGATTATGCCCAAAACGGAACCTTATCCAACTCTTGATTGGCCAAAGACTGGTTAACATTCCGAAACACTGATGCTTCTTCTTGTTGTCTTCGGATGCCCTTCGGGAGGTGGTATTGACGGATGCGAACCTTTAGCGGGCTCACCTACTGACCTGGCAGATAACTTCCTACATATCTTCTTATTTCAGCAACTTGGGAAAGTTTACTGAATTTTTCTACTTCACTAAAGTCCTTATGAATATCACTACTCATTTCGTAGTGGGACATACATTCAAAACTGTTCATATACTCTTTCCTAATGGCATGCAAGAGCAGCCGATGCACATAGCCGATGCAGACACCCGGTCTGTCCGTTCAGTATTATGAACCGAAAGCCGTTTCGGGAGGCTTTGATTTCGGCATTTACTCAGTGCTGGCTATGAAACAAGAAACAGAGAATGTAAGAGAGGTAGTGATTTTCGTCGGCCATTCACGTTAGCTGTGTACGTGGTCCCTTATTCATGGCGATAGTCCAGAAATTTTCGGATCCCAATCTTTCTGCTTTTCCGAGAAGGTACAATTTGGCAAAGGAACTTATACCTTCCCAAATCCAATTCCTGAGTGAGCAGCGTGGAAAGCTACTATGCACAACGCCAGTTACTGAAAGTATCTTGATGATGGTAACACGATTCACATCATCGCTGGACCGGGTAAAAAGAATGTTTGGTACGCGAAAATTTATTCTGGGAGCGAGTCCAAAAATTCAAGGATCAGGACATTGTAAATCAACATGTGCCGGAAATTTAGCTATTTCTACTTGATGAACATCATCTATCAATCAAATTACTCAGTGAATGGATGGATACCAGAAGTCTTCCATGCAGCGAGCCACATCTCAGATCGAGAACGCCTACCGAGGATAGCTAGGATTGCGGGAAGAGCACTCATCTCATGCTAATTTGCGAACTCTTTATTCCTACTACGAGTTATCATTTAGAGGATCTTCAGGCAGCGTTAGCAAGCCGGATGGAGCTTTGCCCTGGATGAGATAGTTTCTCCTTTTTCCATGCCGAATGGCGCTCGATGGGTACTGCTGGTGAGTACTGCTAATGAGGTCGATACTTCTATACATATTCAAGGCAAGCTTACTAGTAGGTATCTCATGTTTTGATATACGAGTAAGACAGACGGTACCAAGCAAATTTGTTAATCAGAGGTACACATATATTATATTCGTAGTTTGTTTGACGAAGCCTCTACGATGATAATGATCGAAGAAGTGAACGATGCAGAACACCTGCTTTGATACAGTAAGTACCTGGTCAATACTTATTATCTCAATGGCGAAGGAAGTCTAAAGCACTGAGTCGCTTCTTCTTCAAGTCATATTGGTGTGTCCTCTGCTCTCGTTTATGCTTCAAGTCTTGAATGCTACCTAATACACATGACAATCTTTTGCGCGTCTTCAAACACTTACACTTCGTTTGCTTTCACTACCCATCTGCATCTTCCAATGCAAGTAAAACCCACTCTTTTCTCCTCAATCCTTTTCTCTTTCTCTTCATTTAATCTTCCATCTATCATCAGAATTCTCTCATTGTATCGCACCAGATAGACCTTGCCTTCAAGTCGAGTAAGACGCGGAGTGTACTTCACAGGCTTTCTTCGATACGTCCCTCTAAATTTCGAGTTCCATTCTTTGCGAAACTCAAGAGCACAATTGACGATATCCGCATACAATCTACAATTTCACAGTTTTCATCGACCAATTCAACATTTCTTGCCATAGCCTTAAGCCTAACAAGTTTCTCAAGTAAGTGGTTACCCCTGCAATCAATTGCTTCCCGGTTGAAATGGTAGGATATGAGTTGACATACGCAGGAACTTAGGCAATGAGACTATTTCTGTCAACGTTGGCATTGGTGACTCAGTATATATCCTTTATTCGTCTCTTTCATGTTACCTTTCCTAATCAACTCACAGTGTCAAACCTTCACCGTTCACAAGTCTATACTTCAACAGTGTACCACTTACTTTGAGTCCAACAAACTATTTGACACCATGGCTGCACCACAAGGAATGATCTTCCTCAATGATGAGAATCCAAAAGTCTTCAAACTTTTTGTTGATTGGGCTTACAACGGTGTGTTCTATCTCTATTGCATGCACGGTATTTGAAAATGATTCAATGCGCATATCACTTACAAATATATTCACGAACAGGAACCGTTCAAAAGCCTCAATCCAAGTTATACGTCAAAAGCAAAACCATCTCTGGTAGAAATTGGTCGTCTCGAGTTGGAGCTCCTCGGAAAGTTCAATGGAAGCCTCAAAACTCTGGTCAATTTATACTCACTTGCCGAAAGATGGGAATTTCATAACTTGATGAATCGTACCATTGATGCCATTCAAGATGGCTATGTTGAGTTTGGTACTGTCTTCGGACCCGGTCTTGCAGCCCAAATTTGGCAAGAGACAAAGTCAGATTCTACCCTGCGAGAATTTTGTATTGCAAGCACAGTTATGCATATGGGTAAGCACAATCCACTTTTCCTAACTTGTACCGCTTGGATTCAGACTTTTTTCTCATTCCGTTGGATCAAATCACTCTGCACAACCACTAATATTAGACCAATTAAGATCGTGGTTGCACTAAACTTCGACAAGAAGTGATGCCGCATTGCATTGTAGTCCCTGGATACTTTGCAGGCATGCTTAGATGGGTTTCCAGAAACTTTCATCTCATGGGTCGACGTTCGAAGGAAGTGGTGGAACCATGGAACTCAAATGAGAGCTTTAGCATGCTTCATAGATCCAAACTCTGTCCCTGCCACTTTCACGTACACCCTGTAAGGCTGCTGGTCTTCCGTCTTGGATGAGATGTCTCGCTAACTACCCATGTTTACCATACAGACTGGTCAGGCACACAAAGGACACAAATCATGTGCAGTTCCGTTCATGGACTGCTCATATCCAGAAGATGATGAGAAGATGGAAGGACTTGATATCTTGAACCTGGTTATGGGATTTGCGATGATGGGATGCAACCTGTGCGATCCACAGTAGGATTATCAAGTATGAGATTGATTGAGACAATATATATCAGATCGGAGGTCAGGGATTTGCGCAGCCTTGCACGAATGATTGGGGGTCGCGGTACAAATTTCCATCATAATCACTTGCTTCGTTTGCTACATACTGTAAAGATATTAGGTATCAAACGATGTAGCTTTCTCTACATCTATTGAAATGTACGTGCAAGATATACAAATATTCCTCCACAAGTCTCAACTATTGATATCAACTGGGGTGCGCTTTGCACACGTTATTCTAGAGCTCCTGTGATCTCCCTTCCCCACGGATCGAAGAGCTCACTGTCTTATACTTATACAACATTCTAGCTATATTAATAAATCGGCGCATGATTTTATCTAGTAAAGAGACCATGTGCCATACAAACCCTTTCTGTTAAATCTCGGCACATTGATTTTCTCGCAGGCTCCAAAGCATTCACTTGCGTAAATTAGTACAAATAGCACGACAAGCACCAAAGACAAATATTTCCTCCACCTTCAATCACCACACTATTTCCCGCGGTCAACATAGTAAGTTTTACTCTTATTTCCCCAAATCAAGAGTCACATCTGAGATCCCCACTAACAGCTTTCTTATTCCAGATCACCCGAATCCTACACGACGGGAAAAGCAACTTTCCACGAAAAGAAATTTCACTGCCATTATGTCTTTTGATCCTCAGTCAAAAGCCCGTCTCATCTCCGACAAAGCTGAAAGCGATCCAAACAATGCAAAACCTATGACTCTCTACATCACCGTGCGCTCGCACGTCTTCGAGATCCCCAAAGCTATCGCCATCCAGGCCTCCAAACGCTTCGCCAAAGCCTGGATCGCCAATCCCACCGCGCGAAACATCTCCTTCAAAGTCGACGATATAGATGGCGAGGATACCGATCCTGATCCGGAACACTTTTACACCGTTGATGCGATCGCGCATCTAGTTGGGTATATGTATGGCAATGAACTTGGGTGTCCGACGACGGATGTGGAGAGGCATTCGGGGTGTTTGGTGGCGTGGTGTAAGGTGCATAAGTTTGCGAAGTTTTTTGAGATGGAGGAGGCGGGCAGGAGGGTGTTGGAAAGGATTAAGATGTGTTTGCGGGTGAGGAGGGTGGGGGAGGGGGGTTCCAACGATGGAGGAGGTGAGGGAGATTTGGAGGATGACGAGGGAGGGGGAGATGGTTAGAGAGGTGTTGGTTGATGAAATGGCGAGGTTGGGGAGGCTGTGGAATGTGGTGGGGGAGGGTCACACGGGGGATACTAAAAAACATGTGGAGAATTGGTCGAGTAGCTCGAGTGCGCTGAGAGAGTTTCAAGATGCGGTTTGGTTGAGGATGGGGGAGGGGGGAGGAGGAGAGATTGGAGAGGAGGAGAGAAGCTAGGGGTGATTGAGTTTGGCGAGGAAGATGGCGGGGATGGTTTGGAGATTTGGGTTCTTTGGACTATGCGTCGCTTCTGTATTTGTACCTTACGGGGCATGAGAAAATAGGAAGGTGTGCTTGGTTTAGTCGATGATAAGCTTGTGGGGGTTGTTCATAGTTTCCATTCAAGAGTCCCGTCTACACAACGATTGGAAGTTGGGGTTAACGCAATCGGGTAATTCTGTTTCGTGGAAAGAATCGAGCAATCTATGTATCTGGTCTCATATTTGCTCACAAGATACGATTGCATGTAGCTTAATAATTTGAGTCTTGTCATACTAGAAATGATTCTCATTCTACTTTTGATAATATTGAAATGATTGCGTTTTGCATCCTCCATCCTCCGTCCTCAAGTAGCGCCACTATGTGACTGTCCACCTCCATTTCGTTACATCAACAACCAACCTCATTTATTTGTATCCACCATGGCCACCCCCATTCACAGGACTCCGCTGTAGGCCCCGTCCTAAACATAGCCCAAATTATGAACATACCACCCACCAACTCCCATCCTCATCCTCATCATCATCGTCATCCACACCCAGCACGTCTCACTAATGCAGGCCCGACCTTCCACTCCCCCCTGCAAAGGACATCAATGTGTCCCTACTCTCATGATACTCAGCCATTGCTTCGCTTTGCTCTTCCTCGGAGTCCACGCCCTCTTCTTCTGTGGATAGAGTATCGCAATCGGATAGATAAGGCGGTGGGCTATCTAGCTCGAGAGTGGAGATATCGTCTAGATCTTCGGAGGGAGGGAGAGAAGGGGATTTGACTTTTAAGGGAGAACTTGGACTATGGGGGTGTTCGGTACTATGGGGATTGTGAATAGAGCAGTCCTCATAGTTGCACTAGGTTATTTGTTCCGAATGACTTTGTAGCTCTGCAAAGACATCGGTATGAACGTCGGGATGGCAATTGCAGATATCAGACAGTTCCCTCTGTAATCCTTCGAATCCGATTGAAAAATAAACACTCCGCATTTTTAACACAATGAGACTGCAAAAATCATATGTGGTCGCTTGGTTTTGATATCAATCGGATTTCTGCAGGAAGAGGCATCCAATATCCCGTCTGTAAGGTATCTCTATAAAGAATATACTCGGATAAAGCTTTGTGCGCCAAGTCCATAACTCCCATCTAGACAGCTAGTTGGTGGAGAATGATCCATTCTGAGATATGTGTCGAGGTAGAATAGTTATTTGGATCACGTCGAGGAAGTGGGTGTGTCGATCCGCAGATCCAAGTGAAGAATTGGTTAAAAGTATGGATGTCATTTTCGTAGCGGTAAATTATCTTTCGTTGGGTTTGTTGAAAGTACTGGAAAGAAGATTCGAGGGGTGAGAGTTCGATGGCGGAATCATGGTTGTGAGCTTGGGTTATTGGGCTTTCGAGGTAGGATTGGAACCAGGGGGATTTTTGGCAGAGAAGACTCTTGTGGAAGAAGAAGGGTTGGCTTTCTGGACCTACGATTACGGTGATGATTCCGGATGATGCATGGCTGGTGATTGGGTCAGAATTGGTGGGTTATGAGTGCGAACCAAAAGACTTTGAACTGTGGCAAAGCAATGAGAGTAGAAATATTATTAGGAGGGTACTTGATAATATTAATTGGAGCTCCAAGCGAGCATGCTGGAACATTGAAACCCGGGCAATCAACCATAGATGCTGGAAGAATGAACCAGTGAGTTACTTACTTGTAGATACAAGAGCTCATGATTTCCTTGACGGAAGAAACCCCCTTTATATTGAGAACGCTTTCTTCGCTGCGAGATAAGAGATATTATAGCAGACGAGCGACGAGTATTCTGACAGGTAGAATTGTTACGAGTGATAGCAGAGATAGCAGAACGGGGGATAGAAATCTCTCAAAGTTTGTCTACCTAGATATCTCGTTAGTCACCGAGTAGATATCAAACTATTCGTTTCATCATTCCCGATTTCAATCGGTCTACGATGCACTTGCAAACGCTCGTTATCGCGGGAGCCTAATCATCCTGATGTCTCGGGCTCCAAAGTGATACTCCAGGTTCATTCGAGAAATCTTTCCTCCCCTCTCAGAACTTGCCAAGTGAAGGGTTTCCTGCAGAAAATGGCGTCTACTACTATCGATTCAGGATAGATGTCGAAGCAGACTCCAAATTTTTCTAATATGGGAAGCGGATACACCTGGACAAAGCAGATAATTGTGGGGGAGCAACAAGCTAACAAATGCAGCTTTCCGAGAAAACCCTGTGCCTCAAGGAACTTTGCATCTGCAACCATAAACGCGAATATGAGTATCTGGAAACAATGCTGTTCGTGCTCGGTGAGATTTGAGGATGTAGAGTGGTGATTTGAACGAGCTTGATGGGGTACGTGACACAGCAGCTAGGGCATTTCCGTATTAGTGTATCAACTGCTAATATGTAAGATTCTAAAGGCCTTCTTACCTTGTGACAATCTCTTTTTGTGAGGTTATTGCTAAATCATGAATTTTTGTGCAGCTAGATCGCCACGCGAGATTTTCAAGTGCCGCAAATAATTGGGCCTTGGAAAGAACTTATTGACGACATTCAAAAGATGAAATGGGATGTCGTGGAGGTTTTCAACAGACTATGAAGCAAGAGTAAAAGGCATCATATCTGGATCCAGTTAGATATCTGCAATCGTTATGAGGTGTTGAATACATTTCGAATATTAAACTGCCTTCGGACAAGAAAAACTTCCATCTACTTGGCAAGTCCAGACACTTGGACAACCCGGATGTAATGCGTTTATTCCTACTATAATTCGACATTGACAACGGGCTATTTCTCATGTGACACTATAATCTGGACATACAAACAAAAGACACTTTTTGATAAGGTGGGCTGCTCGAAGGAACACCATTGCCGTTATCTTCGGGTGACAACATCTTCAGGGGATCATATGATAGTAGAAGGATACTTTCTGTCACTTTGGATTTCAACTAGTCAAAAAATCCTCTTCACTTGTTGGCAATCATTGACTTACATGGACTCTTTCCCCAAACGTTAACATTTTCCATCTTCTTAAAAAACACAGATAACGGGAAACATATAGGAAAACGGAACTTCTCCCGGTATCACTGTTCTATACAATAAGGGTATACGTGAGCTTCCTCTCGCAGAATGAGCACGCCTAGTCTAACTTCTCCCAACTGGTAAGAAAACACACACTCGCAATCCGTTTGGTAGTGAATTACTTCACAGAATGGTCGCTCGACTAATAAAATCGCGGCAAACAATGCCTCAGTGAATTTTCCCGGGATTTCGACTACCTTCCGGTCCTTTCCAGGAAGTTTTGTTTGACAGGTGCTGGAAACAATGGGTATGTTCTGGAAGTATAAAATGATTCTTGGAGACCTTTATATTCTCTACTGGGATATCTAGTTTTGGGTTTCGTAAGACAAAGGTTTCTTACCCGTTTGTCCCGCATTCTCATTGTTCCTATCTACTGTATTCACTTTCGCTAAATCTGCCCATGCTCATTTGGGAAAACTGTACTAGCTCATTTAAAGACCTTAAAAGATGAATTAACCGAAACGCATAGCTTTTTTGCATTTCTTACCTTATCAAAAGCCTGCGATATCTCCCACCAAAAATTCGACCGGATACAAGGCTTAACCAAATAATCATTTCAACAAGTCCACACACAGAATCTTCCACGACTTCGAGATGGTAAAAGTGACAACAAAATTTGATAGAAATTTGGCTCGTGCTGATTGACTCTTGTAGCCTAGAAAACGCAAGGAGCCCGAAAAGGTTGTGGAGGTAGAGGAGGTAGAGGAGACGGAAGATGATGAATCCGAGAAATCCGAAGAAGACGAGGAAGATGGAACCGATGAAGGAAGTGATGAAAATGAGGAAGATGAGGACGATGAGGAAGGCGATGATGAGGAAAGCGATGATGAGGAAGGCGATGACGAGGAAAGCGAAGGAACTGATGACGGGGCGGATGATGATGAAAATGAAAATGACAACGAGGGAAAAGTCGATATTCCTCCCATGACGGAGGATCAGTTAAAGATGTCAGTATACTTCATTTCCATCCATAATCTACTAACATACCTTAGAGCTAAGAACTTTGATCCCCGCGAACCAACTGCGAAAGATGCCATGTTCTTTTTCATAATTCTTGATTGTATCGAAACTCCACCAGATGTAAGGTCCCTTTCTTTTTATACCACTGCCTCAAAAGTCTATGATATATTCTATATTCTTCATTCTTCCACATTCTTTGACTGTGGTTTACAGACATCGTCCCTTGAATAAGCGATCATGTGATTCAAGTTACTAACATCTTCATTCCTTATACAGATAGATTGGAAGCTTGTTGCTGAGCGCACTGGATGCTCCAATGCTTACATGGCCCGTTCTCGCTTTGGACAGATTAGGACCAAACTCCGAAAATATTACGAGGTAGAAGCACAGCCGCTCGTCCCTAAGATTATTGGAATGCCTCCTCCAGATAAATATGAACATCCTCCTGTACCCGAATCCGAGAAAGAAATCTTGACCGACCCGGCTTATGACAGACCCGTCAGAAGAAAAGCGGTCAGAGTTGGCAATCTCCAGAATATTGACCCCGGGAAGCCCTCGAAGTTCAAACAAAATCATGGCCAAGGATATATTCTTAACAGGAACGATGATACCGCAGCGAGCTTAGTTATTACTGCTAATCAGCGCCATGACTACGACTCCGAAAATGAGTTTCAGAATAAAGAGGAGTTCGACCTGAGCACTTATCGTGGATATGACAAAGAAGCAAACATCCTTACTGTCAGCGATCAAGGCTCCGACGATGAAATCAGAGAGGCAACCCCCGTGGTCTTAGATGGATTGACACACAACTTCAACTGAGATCTATCTGCATCTTAAGCTTGTAAGTGATGTGCGTTGCTTGTTTTCTGCGGAGCGAACTAACCATCTTTTGCAGATGAGCATTCATTCCGTAACTCGGATATACATTAGCAGACGATATTACATGAGAATGGTAGATGCGTAAATTTACATGGTTACAGTGGAGTCAGATATCACATGGAGTCGAACGAGGATACTTTCATTTGCTCGACGGCGATTTTTTGAAGCGCATCTAGGAGTTTTTACGAGCGTTCATTCAGTGAAATCAGGATAGAGACAAAAATTGCGCAACAGAAAAGAGTGTTAGTAGATGTATGATCTGGCTTCACCGTTCTATGTGCATTTGGTTCATACTATCTGGTGAATCTGCACTTCATAGAGGAGAACTTTGCATTGAGATGATCAAGGAATGATTTGCCCGCAGTTATTACCCCTCAAGGTCTTTTGGTAAACATGGTAAGGTGAAGGGGAAGTAACTTTGTACTCGGATGTCCAATATCTACGGCTTTCTCATGGTTTCTGCTCACAAGCCCGGGAAGCCACAAGCCCTGCTTATGATTTCTTTTGCCATTTGCCGCGGGGAACCCGTCTGAAGCTCCATACATCTTGTCTCTAGAGCTGATTGATCTTTCCCTAGAAGGTCGTCTTGTGGATGATGCAGTGTATCGTGTCATGGATACGTGCATTATCTACTCGGAACTGATCATTCTTCCAGAAGACACTGCATATTCTCCGGGGGTCGTTTCTCGAAGAAATCATGATGATATTTGGAAAAGTCAAGGTCATGGTCGTACATTCATTCACTTCACGTTCACATACAAACAACCATCCCGAAGATACCAGAAGAATCAAGTCTGAAGTCTTTGAGTTTACTTATAGCTAGCTAGTAAGATTACATATTTTCATGCTCAAACCCCATTGATGTTTGCATGACTTGATACAGTCCTTCTTGAGCGTTACGCTTCTAGCACAATGATGCCCTGGTTCCTAGTCCGATCAACCAAATCGAGATCTAACATATCTGGTGATTGCTTGATAGGGCTAGTAGTCTCGAGGACCTCGATGAGAACATTCGAGGTTTTCCAAAACAAGATATTCATTCATGCAGAGGCATTACCCCGCTCATGAACCATATCAACGGATGCTAAAAGCAAAATATTCTGCTGGATTCATTCGTTCTATGAGCATGAGTTGGTGCAAATGGAAAAAAATCATGTGAGAATGACCAACTTCCCAGAATGAACATGATGTTGAGTGAATAGTGAAAGATGGTTCCCACTTCATCCAGTTAGGCGAGAGAAATGTGAGGGAATTTCTTCATGAGCACCGTTCCCATGGAGACATATAAGAACATCCTCGTCGCACTTTCAACCCAAACTCTCCATCCCACTTACACAACATTTTCCTCGGTCTTGACCAACTTGCATACTCAAATTCTCATACCCTTTGGTAAATTCGACGATCATTACATCAATCCCTTGCATTACTTTGCAAGTTCATCATGTAAGTATCATTGACTTTCATCCTTTGCGACATTTTCATCGTGCTGACTGGTCTTGTATACATAGATCATCTCGTCGCATCCCATTCCACCACAAAAACTATCTCATCAACCACAATCAAAATGTCCGACAATGAAGTTGCCAGTTCTCAACCTCAAGCCAACGGCGGTATGAGCCAGGCTGATGTTGATTTCCTTATGTGCTGTCTTCGCAATACCACCGGCGGTTCTATCCAGGTAAGTCATACTGTCGCACCGCGATCTCTCCCATCCTGCTGTTTGTACTTCACTTCCACATTGTATCATCACGATCATGCATCACACCTTCACCTGTCTTTCAATCACACTTTCTCCTTTCCAAATCATCACAAGCATTTCGTTCTCGCATTTTGCCGTATCACCTCATCTTCACTTGGTAGCTCTGTGTACATGTATAATTGTAGCGCGCACCGAATCTCACATACCCTTCACTTTCAAATCACACTCTATCCTACACACTTTTCCACATTCAAATACTATTCCCAATAGCTGATTAGGGAAAAATTCTAAAGGTCGATACTCAAAAAGTCGCCCAACTCTTGAACTACAAGAATCCTCGTTCGGTAAGTCATGCTTTCGATCATCAAACATTTCCTCAACTAATCCTCCACTTCAGGTTTCGAACAAGGTCTCTTCCATCAAGAAGAAGTTCGATCTTCCTTTTGGAGCCTCTTCACGCACTGCTGATGAGGTGGCTGGCGGCAAGGCCGGTAAAGGTGACGTCTCACCAAAGAAAGCATCGGATGCTAATGGCACCAACGAGCCTGCTGTCCCAACCACACCTTCCAAGAATCGCGTTACTAAGGCTAAGGCTACTCCCAAGTCTCGTGCCAAGAAGACGCCAGCAAAGAAATCTTTCAAGAAAGTCGAGGAGTCTGACGAGGAGCTCTCCGACGTCAAGGACGAGGATATAGAGGATGTCAAGGAGGAGACTAAGGAAGATGATGAAGAGTAAACTATCTTTCGTCATCAATCTTCTGGGCTGTCGTTGGTAGCTGGTGCGAGCGAGGGTGCATATATGTAACTCAAGCTCGTTATGGGTGCCGGAAGGTGGTTCTGTTCAGCGTTGGATCTCTCAAGTTCTGATATTTTTCTTCTTCTTTGATGTCCATGGCGATTGGGCTTATGATAGATACTGGGGAATATTGGGAGGAAGTTTGCTATCAGCCATGGATATTAGTAATTGTCTATTCCTCGTCTTCGGGAAAAGGGACGATCCGCAGATAGGTGTTGGTTATTGCAACTTCAAGTTGTTCTGGAAAACACTATCTAGGATCTCTATAAAATCATTACTTCTTTTGATGTCTACTTGACCATAAATTACTTTTGTCTTTGCCATTCAATACTTGACCAGGTAGATACCCAATACTACGGTAGAGAAAAAAGCAATGTGAGATCTGTGCAAACATTGGCACCCAAACGGAAACGCCGCAGAATTTGTGTCGCATTCTTCACAATGCTCATTTTCTGATATCAAAAAGCTGTAAATCCATGTTCCATGCATAATGTGACTCCGATAATTTGATAGAAGCTCCTATCAAGCAGCCAGAATTCATATTCAAACCTGGCTGGAAGATTCGGGAACGGGAAGATTTCACTGGGTGCTCCAGAGAGAAGTGAGAAATGGCTGGAAAATTCACTTTTACTTCTATTTCTGCCTAGTAGTTGAGATTCAATTATAATATCTTGGTTCAGATTTGCTGTGTTGTGCTGCTACTCAACTGCTTCGCTTCTTCTCTACCCACCAAACCCATATCCAAACGCAACCTCACAACCTCGCGACAACAGCCACAATTTTGCAATTCCTGCAGATTGACTTGCGCATCCAAAGTTATCGTCGCAAAGAAGCATTACTTCGAAAAGAAATCATTTCACCTCGTACAAAGTGAGTTTTCTTCATCTGGGATCTTAAGATCCTATGGGTGGTGATGGCGATGGTGATGCATATGGTGTTCGATCTCAAGTAAACTCAAGCTGACTCGAAAACAGAATCGGCATTCGCAAATATGGCGACTTTGACTTTGTCCGCAAAGGAGACGGAGATACTTGTAGCTTTTATGTCTGAGATGGGGGAGATTCCTAGCAATGTAAGTTCTGCTTGTTCTCTTTTTCCTTTTCTTGTACCATCATTGGAGCTGGGCCTTGAGTCGTTCTGGTGCTGCACTCGTCTGTGTATCTATGCATGTCAGATGAAGATCATGGCTTCTGATGCCAGGTAAAAGCGCAGAGTGGCACTCATCTGATATCGTCTATTTCATTTGCATGTAATCACGTCGCACTGTCCTTCATGCAAAATTATATACATACTTACATTTACAATAAATAGATCAACTTTGACAAGGTCGCCGGTCGAGTTGGGGTCAAGTTTGGTAAAAACGCCCGCCAAAGCTTTAAGAAGCTATTTGAGAAGTTGAAGGTATGATACTTTCTCAATAGGGCGCCTTTTAATCAAGCATGTTTACAGTCAACTAACTCGACATCTACTAGGATCAAGCCGGACCTCCTCCAGATACTGAGGATGGTGATACCCCTCCCAAGACACCCTCTCCCACCAAGAAAACTTCTCCAAAGAAGAAGGTTGGCCCAAAGAACGCTCCCATCAAAGCCACTCCTAAGCCCAGAGGAAAGAAGGCCGCAGTCAAGAAGGAAGTCAAGGAGGAAGTAGTTGATAGTGATGATGAACTAGCAGAACGAGTATTGGACGACGAAGATGGCAAGTCTCCAGAACATATTCCTTCCCTCAGAGCCGAAAGTCTTGGAAAGAACTCCCTTGTTGGCTCATCTACTGGATCTTCTGAAAGTCTTCAGATTTCAAATAAGGTTGCTAGAATATCTGTCATCGAAGCCGAAGAGACAATTTCTACTTTCACTGAAGAGAGCCCTGTTGATGAGCAAGCTGATCTCGACGAACAGCTCCTAGCTGCCCAGTCTGAAATGAGTGTTGATGCTTATCGACATTGGAAAGCTCTCAATAATTATACATTCCTGGAGAGCTCCTGAAGAGAGCTATATCCTAGGCTGAGCTCTAAGCTTCAGCATTTCTTCTATGGGCGTATTTGTGGGCTTTTGCATTGCTTTTAGCCGGGGTCATCGTTTCAGAAACATTCAATGCGTTTTCTTACTTCATACCTACATCTCAATTGCTAATTCCAATCACTCCGACAGAGGATTCCGAGTGAATCCGACTCTTTTCCTTTCCCATTCAACTCGCCACTCTCAATGGAAAGGGTGATAACATTAAGATGGATTTTACGTTATTGATTTCCAAATTGGTTCTGATTCAAGCACGGCGTGTTTTTCCTCCTTCGCCAGGATCGCATCATGAGGGAGGTAAACGGGTTTCTAGAAATGCGCTGGGGAGGATATGATATCATAGTGAAAGACAGGAAAAACAAAGAGTGCACAGTCAATGACCATAGCTATAGTACTTCCAGAGTTTGCTCTTCAATGCAATCTCCCATGACCCAAAATCCATTGTCTACTCATGACCCGTGACACACAAATACTCTTTCTCAAGATGAAAGACCCCTCATATCAGGAAATAAAACCCTTTCAGATTCACTGTAAGGACCATGATGCCACAATCGACCTTTTCTACAACCCCGAAATCGAACAACGAAATCAATCTTTGATAACCCAACTCCTCACAACCACATTCCCAATTCTTTCACACACATTATGCTCAACAACGACAGCCTGCCCTAGATCTACAAATCGACTACTCCAGACAATTCAGTAAGTAGCAATCGCTCTCCCACAGTCTAGACATTAAAAAAAAAGACGTTCTCTCACCATTCCCCTCATCTCCACCTGTCAGTCTTACAAAATCGGAAGACCTCATCCATCTCTCTTCCCGCTGCCGCCAAATCCATCTTCCTTCCCGCTTAGACACCAAACACTCTATTCACTTTTGCAGAAGACTAACTTACTACCTTGTCTTCCATAGTCTATCTATCGAGTTGAGAAACCTCAAAAATACATCCATACATCCATACATTCAAGATATACAATATACAACAACAACTTGCTCATCATGGCTCCAGCTTCAAACGAAGAACAATTCAAGTTTCTTATTAGCTGTATTCGATACAGTAACAATGGAAAGGTATCTTTTACTCTGTCGCATTTTGCGGTCTATTCACTTTCCCACCACTATCCTACTTTGGCCTTTTGTGGTCTTTTGTGAAGAAGGCTATTGATATCACACAGGTAGACTTCGGTCAAGTAGCCAAAGAATGCAAGATCGTCACCAAAGGTGCCGCGTAAGTTTTCTTCTTTTCTCCTCTCCTCTCCTCTCCTCTCCCCTTCACTCATCAACCTACCCCTACCCCATCCCATTTCTCCATCCTCCTTCCCACCTCAGCCTCCACCCCCAACTAACCCCTCACCTCCCAGCGCGAAACGCTACGAACGCATGATGCGCTCCCACGGCATCGCTCCCAACGCCGCATCCATCAAGCCTGCCCCTGGCTCCTCCTCTCCCACCTCCAACCCCTCCTTACCACGCAGCAAATCGACCAACAGAAAACGCAAATTTTCCAACGAAGATGAGAATGCAGATGATGAGGAGGACTCCTCTTCCAGCCAAGGAACGAGCAGAAACAGAGTCAAGAAAGAAGTGAAGAGCGAGATGCACGCGAGGAATGCGGTGAAGGAGGAGATTTATCGAGAGGATTCGCCGAGCGCGCAGTTGAGAGAGGGGTTGCAGATGCAGAGGGGCTTGGGAGCGGGATTGTGTGATGTTAATAGGGAGTTAGTGGGTTTCTATAGGGGGGGAGAGTAGTGTGGCGGGGAGAGTGAGGGGGGAGGGGGATGCTTTTGAGTTTGATGGGGAGGGATATGCAAATGGTGTAGATGTGAGTGGAATTAGTGCTGCTGGTGCGAGCTCTGGGGCTGTGAATGCGTATGGTCAGCCGCAGAAGGGATATGGTTTTAGCGCGGGTGGATTTGGTGGAATGATGAGTGGTCACGGTATGATGGAAAGCGGAACTGGTATGGGTGGTCACGCTGGACAGAACATGATGGCGTCTAGAAGTCATGCTGCAGGATCAAACGGAATGGACATGAGTGCGCAGGAGTATTGGGGTACTGGACAAGGTTATGAAAGCGAAGGTGGTTCGGAGAGTCCTTTGTTGGTTGAATAGAAGATGCTCGTTCTTCTTTCGTTGCTGGAGGTGGGGAAATGTTCGTTAGGGGGAATATCGTTGCTTATGGCATCTGCGGCGATGAAATCCTTAAAGGGAAATTTATAATCGGTTCTTACATACTAAGAAATTCGGGTAGGATCTGCAATTGTTTCGAACGGTGGTCAATCGTGATACCAGTATTTATGCTCTTAGAACACAAAATCGATAGGAAATGGAGACTTTCAAGCTATCATTCATGCAATTCCACAATCATTAAATCAGCTTTTGAGCACCCAAAGTGTGTTTTTAATCCCTTTAAACCTTTATTGTGAACAAATTCGCTCCTAGGATGTCAGTGTGAGGTCAAAGATGATGGTAAGCATTGTGACTAGATCTTTTCCTCGCGCGAAGTAGAAGCTGGTAAGGCCAAGTACAGATACTATATGGAGAGTGTGACTTTGAGCTCTTCTTGCTGTCACATACACCCCTTTAACGTGTAAGATCCAAAGCCGCGGTGAACAGTTCAGCTATGTAGGTGTCAATTTGTTCATCTAATGTAACAGGCTTACAAAATCTCAATGACTGCTCTTCGACTCTTAGCTTCTACCAGTTAGCACGTCAATCAGAAATGTGACTTGCAGAACTGGGGGCATGAAGATTGAGAAGATGCATGCAGTGGGGAAGTAACACCTGCTAGCACGCTGCTGCGCAGCATTATTGGCTGACGATTGGTGTAGCCCGGATATACAGACCCTCACTAAAGATAAGCTGGCTAATAGATCAAGTATTCCGATGATCCCCTATTATTACATGCTAGGTTTCTCTATGTTACGGGCACCAGCTGGTATGGTGATTTTGGTGTTTACTTTGTAGATACTAGTGTTCAGATATATTATTTCTGCAGCAGCTCTTGCAGGCTTGATAACCACCTGGGTAGTAGCCGAACCGTCTGTCATTGATTTGCTTTATGAAATTGGAGAAGCCAGATACTTGATATCGTTGCGATGAATATATGAACACATTTCCGTGCCGCCCCAACCACTTGTGCGAGCAGCGTGAGATTGACAGGAGTGTATTATTGTATAGGTCAAATACTTGCACCGTCTTCTAAGAATCTTGGCAGAGTGGCGCCGTGATGAAAGGAAGATAGAAGATGCTACAGACAACTATCTATTCAGCTAATTCTCTCTTCAGTAGAACTAGATCAAGGGAGGTGAACTCATTACAAGAAGCAATGGAGAAGTTAGAGTCGAGTAATGTGCTAACACGATATGGTTGAAGTGTGTATTCTGGGTTGCTCCCGCAATGGTTGCCGCAGATCTTGCTGCAGGTTTTTCTGGGTTTTCGCGGATAACTTCTGCAGAGTTAGTATTCCTCGCGGCCTAGGGATTAGTTCTATCAGTTAGCTTGATGCTTTCTTGTGCCAAAAAGGAAATTCAAGTCTGCCAATTATACCACTAGATAGCTAGCAGGTAGCACAATAGAAGCTTTCGCGTGCTTCTTTCTGATCTTGAATATTGTAGGTTTTCGTTGTAGCCACCTCGGATCAGCGAGACGTAGATTGGGTGTCTTGAAAAGGGCATTGCCATAATAAGCGTAAGGAGAACAGAAGCAGAATAGATGTTGAAGTCTGTGATGGCTCCTGAGAGTATAAATCTGACAGGCACTTACGCATACTCCAGGAGAGAGCCATTAGAATCTTGACAGTATCTACTATGGTACCAGATCATCTAACTTCTCCAAATCCTTGCCGCTACCCGAAATATTCCTTTGCGTTGGTCGGTAATAGAAGATTATCCGGCCCGATTGGATACCGGCACAAATTTGAAGTTGTTGATACATTAAATTTGGTCTCGCTTGCGGCTCTTCTCCCTCTCTCTTTATCTTTCTCTTTCCAAACTCCCAATCCAACTTTTTTACAATCCACCATTAGTTCCTTTTTCCACCTCATCACTTAAGCACATAGAATCCCTCTGTCTCTGCTCTGCTATTTCGAATTATCTCGAGTCTTCTACAAGGTACGTTTTCAGAGAATTTGATTTCTTTTCCTCTTCTTGATAGCAGTATTGCTGCGACTTTCCCATCACACTGCCCTCCCGATCTAGCAGTCACACTCTCCCAGCACACAATTCAAAGCAGAATACCTTCAGTCAATTGAGGTATATCTGTTCTATGCTCTGCCGATTCACAGAGGACTCTTCCTCTTAGTGATGATGGCGTCGCCGAAGCAATACCTGTCTCGGCGCGGTTTTGCGGCGATCCCAACCCCAACAAGATCAATAGTATGGAAAGCACACAATCCTTTCTGCACACTAGCATACATCTATGTATTGTGTGTGTATCGACTACCAGCAGACCTCTGGTCTCGGAGGGCTTTCTTATTTGGTGTCATATTTGACCGATGCCACAACTGAAGCCCCCAGAACAGTGGAAACACACCCATACCTCTGGGAAAGATTACACCTGGATTCAGACTTATATACCATTTCCCCTTTGGTAAATTTGTCCGATTCTGATCTTTCCACGATCTCATGCTACCTGCAATCTTCGCACCTACCTTCTACCACTCTAAATTCACTCCGTTTTCCTCCCTCAGTTTAAGACTCCCCGCTCCTCACGTCCGCTTTCGGAATAGCTAGCGCATATTTGCTAGGTGTCTGACAAGGTGCTCAATCAAGCAACAAAAGCTAACAAGTATTTCTTCGCTCCAGATAATCCCCTTTCTGTTCTTCAAATAACGACAAGACAACCACACCACGCATGAACAATCAATATTTAGCAAACATGTCTTCAACTGATGGAGATGCCGATGTAACCGAGGGACTTGGCCGTGACCAAACCCTCAACAACATCGAGAAGCAAGAATCTCCCCGACCTCGTTCTGTTGCTACACCTGTCAAGTCTAGCATTTTTTCTAATTCTCAAGCTAAAATAAACACCAAAGATCTATTCGCTTCGATCGAGATAGATGATAGCTATGATCCTGTCACGCCAACCAATGCATCAGCTAAAGCTGTTCGTGGTAACGGAAGACAGAGTGTCAGATCTCTATCACCAAGAAAAGCTGCTAGTACTAAGGGCACACCTTACCAAGTCTCTAAGAACAATCAAGCTTCAAGTAAGTCACTCGAAAAATACGATGTTTTTGTCATCGATACGCATCCTTCGCTAGGATGGAAGTCATTGAAGTCGTGCTAGGGCTAACCTTTTTTTAGAAAAGGAAGAGATCAAGGAAAGCCGCGAGATCTTCGACCGCATACTACGCGGCGAGTATTCCGAAGAAGATGACGATGACTGGGAGGACGAGAACGATGGAGCCAAGTCCCCCAAAAACGCTTGGCACAAAGCTCGTAAGGTGATTGGCTCTGCTGGTAAACCCACGCATCCAAATGGTCGAGTCGAAGGACGCAAGCTTGTACCTTGGCACAGTAAGCTTCCACTCTTCACATCAACTTCGAGCAAGGGCTAATAAAACTATAGAAGTAAGAATGCCTGAAAAGCTGATTCTCTGCATTGTGTATGAATGTCGCCGTGCAGAATTAAACATTCCGTGGGATGATATCGCTCACAGAATGCGCCCTGGTAGTTCTGGTGCAGCTACCGTACAGCATATCAATAAGATGCGTGAGATTCTTATTCCCGAAGGTCACCTTGTTCCTCCTCATTTTGCAAAGAAGCATCCTGTTGATCCAAATGTTCGTGGATACATTCGTGATATGAATTCTGAGGACCCAAAGGCAACTCGTGCAGTTACTTGGGATGAGGAGATTGATGACTTAAAGGAGAGTCTTGTTGTTCCTGGTATCACCAGAGGCTCAGGAACCTATCGTCGCGATAGGGCTCGATGGCAAAACAATAAGGCAACCATCGTCGAGGAAACACCTACTAAGACTGTCTCTAGTCGACAACGTCCTGAAAAGCGAGCATCAAAGGCAAAGACTGAACCAAAAGAGAAGTCTTTCATGGTCAAGAAGGAGCGATCCGAATCAATTGACCCCATTGAGATGCCATCAGACGAGGATTACGACCCCGGAAATCGTCTTAAGATCAAGGGTCATCGCAAGCGTAAGGTCAAGGTCAAGACCGAGCGTAAATATGATTTGGATGAGACCAGCGAGTCCGAGGGTGAATCATTTGGATACTCTGACGATGACTTCCTTGAAGAGACACCCTGCAAGAAGTTTGCCGGAAATCATGCAGCGACACCTTTAGCCAGTTTGCCAGTAAAGCTCAAAATTTCACCCGATAGGCTAAAGAATTTCGCTGCAGGCGCTTCCGTGAAATTAGCTGAAGAGGAAGTTGCAGTCGATGAGACTGAGTACATGGACAGATATGGCGATGGTGATGATGATGCAGAGACGATTGTCGATGCTCATGCTCGCGATGTTGATGATGCTTTTGGTCATGAAGGCTTGCATCTCAACAATGGCAATGCTGGGCTTCAAAATCAGCTTGCTTTCACACCTTTCGGCTTCAACGGAGGCATGAACCCTGGTTCCGGTACTTACAACCCACATGGCGCATTAAATGCTCAAGCGTATGATCAAGTTTACGGCCAAACTTACAGCAGTCATAACTTTATGGGACCGTATCAGAATACACATGGTAGCTACCAATACTCCAACCAGCAATTTTTCGGCTTTCATGACTCCGACTCAACACCTGTCATGAACCATGGCTTGAACTTCGACGGCCCAGGTGAGACGATGCAGGATCTAAATGGCGGTCATAACAGCATGAGCTCCTTGCCACCTAGCATCGGACTCAGCTCGGACAACACCAGATTCGGTAACTTTACTGACTCTGCCGGTGTCACCTATGACTTAATCGATCCTAGCGAAATTCCTGAACAGGGTTTCGAATCGTTCAATGATGATTTTGTTCAAGCTTACAATTCCAACCAGCCTTTCAACCCTGATGACAACAACCTTTGAGTCCGGTTTTTGCCTTCGAAGATGAACGACCTTGGCACAAAAGGTATTGACGATACTACCATGCCAATTCTTATCCATCAAATAGGGCCAGTAACTTTCAAAGCAATTTTGATCCCGCAATTATTTCTCTTTCCATTTCTGTTTCCATTCTTTGTATCAACGATTGATTTTGGACCAGTTGGATCATACTTCTTCACCACAAATTTAGCTTCGATTCGCTTCCTCTTGGCGTTTGGATGCTCCCGAGTTGTCATGAAGCCCTGGTTATCAAAAATCTTTCGTAAAATTTCATCATCGTTCTGTCAACCCTGGTTATCATATTTAGGAAGTCTTTGGGCTTGGCGGAGGGCGTAAACGGTTTCATAGACATAAACATTTGGTCGTTAATTCGCTTTGCTTGTCGAAACTGCTGTACCCGCACGAGCGATTTTTCCTGTTTGCTTCCTCATTCGCCTGCGATATTTCTCTTGTTTCCGGAACTTCTCTTGGTGAACAGGAGTTTTCGTAAGTTGTTTGCTGGTCGCATCGAACGGAAATTTCATCGTCATTCGTTCAGTAGTGGGAAAAGCGGGGGACACAAGACCTTGTATCATAGATAGATGCTTTAAATGACAATCTTCTATGACATTACCTTTGCCTTGTGAAAATGCGTGTGAGTTTTTGCGCTAACATTATTGGATCGATTTAGGCAGTAGTGTGCCTCTCATGGCGTGGTCCATCTTTGTATGTAATGTAACACCTTGCGACTCAGCAAGCTTTCCACTTAGAAGAGAAACTGCGCTATGTAGAATAATGGCAAGAGTATGAAAGGCACTGTTCTGCAAAGTCAATCCGTCAACTTTGATCAGCGAAGTTACCTCAGGAGGTTGTCGATGGGATTCCGCTGGATACTGCTGCATGTTGTCATCTTGGATTTGACTGCCAAAAGAGGAGAGTTCGCAAAACAGCCACATAGTGAACTTATGCAGAGCTGTAACGCTTTGCCCAATACATTTTGATAAGCTACAAGGTGAAACTGTCAAGTGATGGTGGATGTTCGCGTCACTAAGCTGCGACTCAGAAGCTCGTACAACCTTCCTATTTGATTTTCTTGCAGGTAGGCAAGCTAGGTTGCATGCTGCTACACGCGGTTTTCATTCTTTCGAACAATAGAAAGAGGGCTTTGCGCAACAGCTACATGATGAGCTTATGCAGACGTGTAATCATCTCCCTGATTCACAGATGCGCTTTATATGCGCTGTGAATGAGAAATGTCAAGTGATGGTGTGGATTCGTCTCCAAGAACTGCAATTCAACGTTCGAGCCACTTTCCGTCTTAATGTTCTTGCAGGCAGCCAAGATTGATTCTTTGCGGTCGGTTACACAAGAATGAATTCTAATACTCGTACGAGACTTGCTGCTCAGATGCTTCAAGTTGGTAGTCTCCACTTGAATTAAATAGTAAGTGAGCTTGGAAATTTCAGGCAATGCCATGAGGTTTCCGAACGCAGTCGCATTCTCAATCAAGTAGACACAGGAGATTTTTCCTCCTTTTGCTCACTCAAGATAGTAGTACTCGTCGCTGTGTGAGATAGTTCGAAGTCGAAGAAAGTTGAAGGAGATTCAAGGTTTGTGGGAATTTCGAGGTTGAAAGACTGTTTCTCTGTGATAAATCAGTTTGCTTTTGCATCAAATGTCAAGAAAGATGCAGTATTGAAAGGTTACTTACCATCTAGAAGAAGTATAAAGTGTGTTTGGTGGTTTGTCAATTCCAGGACATGTTTTTTGCTTGAAGGGTTGTCTTTTCATTTTTGTTCCTGGTGGGAATACAAAAGAGTTGGTCGAGTTGCAGGCAGCAATCCACAAAAAAAACCCCCCAAAAAAATGGCAAGCTATTAGGTAGAATTATGGAGGTGAATCATATGCCTAGATAAGGTTGTTGAATGAATAGGCGAGGTCCGTGCTACTTTGACTTCTCCTTCACCTTCTCGAATTACTTGGACTGTGAGTATCCATAGAGGTCAATGTTGGATGGTGGGTATTTCGAATGAAAAATTGTTCTTGTTTATTTTAGCTGGTCTGGTTTGGTATAAAAAGGATCATGACAATTCAAATGAGAACACCAAGTAATTAGCTCTGAGGTCAAATATAGAAGATAGAAGACTTATCTAGTGGTAAACAGTAAGACTATGGGTTGTCCGAAGAACAAACGAACTTCAAGTCTTTGTATTATTCAGCTGGAGATTGAGCCAGATTATGATGATCAAAACTGATTATGAATTGGATTCACCTATAAACTTAGTCTACAAAGACATACTACTTATCAGACGACTAATACCTGGGGATTTCTCCCGCTCAGCATCTTACGTAGTAATCTAGCACTTCTGTGACGTTTCAACCTCACTTCCTTTCTATGTATGATATGGGTATATGCTTGAGGCGGTTCCATTTGTCATGACTGTTCATTTCTGCATTTAAATGGTAGATAGTCCTGATTTATAATGCGGAATGCTAGCAAAGTTCCATATGAGTGATTGAGAAATAGGCTTCCGAGTGAGTGGTTGAGACTCACACAGTTACTTGACATGATATACCTCTAGAAAAATTGAGAAGTATTTCTTTATACGTGTGGATAATATCAATAACATATGATAGAATCAATCCTTGGCTAGGCTGATTGGAGGACTGATGTGAATCAAGGAAGCCACTGCGGGGTTGGCCCGTTTCTACCCCCTCGCTTGGGATGATAGCCCACGCAAATCGATATACAAACATGCTGTGAATTCATCTTCTTTTGCTTGATAAAGAGAACTTCTACCTTCACCGTTATAGAACTGGATTACCTCACATTAAAGAGTAGGAAATTGGAAGTATCAGCTCCGTGTTCCTGTACAGGTCGCAATCATGCAATACAATTACACCTTTCCCTTGTCCGTAACTCCTGGATTCAAAATAAGATTGATAAGACTACATGTGGGCTAAGACCTACTATCAAGCCTATCCATTATGCTGTGATAAAGATCGAGGTGTTTGTACGTTGCTTCTTACGCACTCGTGAAGTAAACTAACACACCTGAGTGCGAGCAGCAAAAGCTTTGATCGACTTTAATCTGTCTCTTAAAGATTACGTTACCCATACCATTAAAATGCGAGGTTCATTTAGGTACATGCATGATTCAAGTGACAGCTAAACTCTCACATCAGGACAGCTAGCACTGGCAGCCATCTTCGTGTACGCTGAATAGCTACCCCTTTTCGATACTTCGGACTGAATTCAAAGTCAACATGCAAATCCAAGACTCAGGTTCGATAGATGGTCATCAAATTCACGCAATACGAATCTCTTGAAGACGCAAGGAGGTATATGGCCAAGGAGGGGTGTAAGGACATTCATGTGTGTCCCAGAAATGCGGTGATCTTGATATCAGTATCGCCAAAAATCAAGAGAGCATCGTGAATACTAATGGTATACATCCTACATACCTATGCGCACTCATAGATTTCATTGTCCTTCTTTGCATGAAATCTGAGAGGTAACAGACACTACATACTATATCTATACGTGCCTACTCGTTGGTACTAATCCTTCTTATAAGAAGATCCTAACTCACAACTAAGGTAACATGATATGCAAACACATGTCTGATCGCTTCAATCAGCAATCCTTTGATGAATGAAGGTTAATAAAGTGGCCACTACGTTGACAGTAAAGTGAAGTATAGTACGAGTGAAGTTTGAAGTGAGGTTTGAAAATGGAAGTCAAATGCATTAGTCATCAAACTATAAATGCCCGGCAGCTCGGCCCCTCCATTCGGGAACTTCCGTTCACCCAGCTCAATTGTTTCTCGCAGATTCGATGGAGAAAGGTTTTGCCGAACATGGGGCCCAGAAAAATTATCTCCAAGATCTCAAAGTCTCCATTCTTTCTACTTACTTTGAACAACAAAAAGGCCTCTTCTCTATAAACTTTGAGAGCTTTTAAATATCCAATTTTTAGTTTTGTTATATTTCATAAGCGTCTTTCATTCAATTGATTCAAGATGCAACGCGCTTTGAGTTCTACAGCAAGAGCTTCGATTCTTAACGGATCGACAGCTTCAAAGCTTCGTCCTTTACAACAATTGAGATTCGCTCACAAGGTATGTTGGGTTGCTTCAGTTCATGTCGCTCTAAGATGCGACATAGATATCTGGTGATATGAAACTAATCATGGTTTTAATTTAGGAGCTCAAATTCGGTGTTGAGGGCAGAGCAGCTCTTCTTGCTGGTGTTGAGACTTTGGCAAAAGCTGTCGCCACAACCTTAGGTCCCAAAGGCCGAAATGTTCTTATTGAGTCAGCATATGGCTCCCCAAAGATCACTAAAGGTTTGCAAACCCCCTGGCTACCAAGTTGTAAAATTCTAATTGTTGGTGAATAGATGGTGTAACTGTTGCCAGAGCTATTTCCCTCAAGGACAAATTCGAGAATCTCGGTGCTAGACTCATCCAAGATGTTGCCTCGAAAACCAACGAGACCGCTGGTGATGGTACCACAACCGCTACTGTCCTTGCCAAATCTATTTTCTCCGAGACCGTAAAGAACGTCGCCGCAGGATGCAACCCAATGGACTTGCGCAGAGGTACCCAAGCCGCCGTGGAGGCCGTCGTTGAGTTTTTGCAAAAGAACAAGCGTGATATCACAACCAGCGAGGAAATCGCACAAGTTGCGACTATCAGTGCAAACGGTGATACCCACATCGGAAAATTGATTGCCAACGCTATGGAGAAGGTTGGAAAGGAAGGTGTCATCACAGTCAAGGAGGGAAAGACCATGGAGGATGAACTCGATATCACCGAGGGAATGAGATTTGACCGCGGTTATGTCTCCCCATACTTCATCACCGATACCAAGTCGCAAAAGGTTGAATTCGAGAAACCATTGATTCTCCTCTCTGAGAAGAAGATCTCAAACGTCCAAGATATTATCCCAGCACTTGAGGCATCTACCCAACTTCGCCGTCCTTTGGTCATCATTGCTGAAGATATCGATGGAGAAGCTCTCGCTGTATGCATTCTTAACAAGCTCCGTGGTCAACTCCAAGTTGCCGCTGTCAAGGCCCCCGGTTTCGGCGACAACCGAAAGTCCATCCTCGGCGATCTCGGTATCTTGACCAATGCTACCGTCTTCACTGACGAGCTCGATCTCAAGCTCGAGAAGGCCACCGCAGACATGCTCGGTACTACTGGATCTATCACCATTACCAAGGAGGATACCATCATCTTGAACGGTGAGGGTAGCAAGGATGCTATTGCTCAGAGATGCGAGCAAATCCGAGGTGTCATGAACGACCCTACCACCTCCGATTACGAGAAGGAGAAGCTCCAAGAGCGTCTTGCTAAGCTTTCTGGTGGTGTAGCTGTCATCAAGGTCGGTGGCGCATCCGAGGTCGAGGTTGGTGAGAAGAAGGACCGATTCGTTGATGCTCTCAACGCTACTCGTGCTGCTGTTGAGGAAGGTATCCTTCCAGGTGGTGGAACTGCTCTCCTCAAGGCTGCTGGTCAAGCTCTTGGAGGTCTCAAGCCTGCCAACTTCGATCAACAACTTGGTATCAACATTATTAAGAGCGCCATCACCAAACCAGCGCGTACTATCGTTGAGAACGCTGGTACTGAAGGATCAGTTGTCGTTGGTAAGCTCATGGATGAATTTGGATCCGACTTCAACAAGGGGTTCAACAGCGCCACCGGAGAGTACGTTGACATGATTGCTGCTGGTATTGTCGATCCATTCAAGGTTGTCCGCACTGGTTTAGTTGATGCCAGCGGTGTTGCCTCATTATTAGGTACCACTGAAGTTGCTATTGTCGAGGCACCAGAAGAGAAGGGACCACCAGCTGGTGGTATGGGTGGCATGGGAGGAATGGGCGGTATGGGAGGTTAGTACATTATCTCACTCGTGATGAATTTTACGCTAACCATATGACAGGAATGATGTAAAAAGTTATTGGTCAAAATAAAATAAAATACCCGTCTGAGCCTCATCTGTCTGAGCGATTTGATTACCAGACAATTTGGTACCGGACAAAACATTGTATAACACCCCACTCACTCTTTTTCGTTCCTCGTCTTGCATGGCCTCACGGAGCGATATGATGTGTTTAAGAGATTATGACCATGTAAATTAATGAAACCAAAATAAAATATGAAAAATTTCAAATCCATTTCTGTGGCACACAATGTGGGTGACTTGATTATGAAAGACCGGTGATGTGTTCGTTTGCGTGTTCGATTTTCTTGGAACATATCTGCCTTGTGATCAGATATAGGAAGGAAAGTAAGATGGCATCAATTAGGTGGGTAGCCTTCGTAATGATACATGCCATTTGATAACATTCACAGAGGTATCTACCAACAGCTTCTTGATGATGGCATAGATTATTCTTCTGCCTACTTCCTTACATATGTACATGATAAGCGAATCCAATGTGCCCATCTATCTAGGTGGCTATGTGAGTTCATCATGGATGAGATAAATGTAACTATCTAAATATAATCGGCAGCTTGCAGCTTCAGACGTGATTCTTTGACTTCTAGCCAGGCAGCCATTGGTATCATTATATTACTACTCCAAGAGCTACAACCTCGGATCTTCAATTTTGACTTAATACCTAGCTAGCAAAAGCTCCATATATGCATATCTTTGTTGCCCCCAAAATTACCGATAAAACGTTCAGAGAGTGTACAACTCTAGGGGGAAATTTCTCCACCCACAGATATCTACCTCATCGTTGGCATTTTATCATAACCAGAACATATCATTTGTATTTTTGACTGGATTTCGATCCTCATTGCCTAGCAAAGACTATTTCCATTTCATCTATCTTGAAAGGGGTAAACTCTCTCAAAGTTGCCAGCTTTCATCCATCCAGATTGAGTGTGAAAGCACGACAAGGTATTCTTAGCGTCCCACTCAGGTGATCGCACACCGGCAAGTAACCCCACCAATTTCCTGACCTTCATCCCCGTTCGCAAAATCCAAAACTCCCCCAAAGATAAACATCTACCAAGCTTTTCTCTCGCTCCTCCTACTACCTCGCAATTACCACAATATACAGTGGACTTTGGAAAGCAGGTCTCTGAACAATCTTCAACGTACGTTCTCAGTTCGACAGCTTGGTCTTAACTCAAAGTCATTCGATTTATTTATCTGTCTAGTTGTTAAGCATTAGGCATTTGCTGACTTTCTGTTGCTTTGACAGTTTCTACCAACACAAATCGTCGCATAGACTTTCTTGACATCATGGTATGTAGCTTCTATTGTACCAACTTTCACACAACCGTTTGCTAATAATTTCGCTTTAACAGTCTAACTCAGGGTCAGTCCACCCCACTACTCAACCCGCTACCATCAGTGACTTGCGGTGACAGCCGAGCTTGATGCGAATCTGTTCCTACCAATAATCTGAGCAGGACCGCAGAGCATTAGTTGACAAGTCTACAGTATCACCGTCGACGATGAATGCATCGAGAAGTTTAACGAGATGAAGCTTCAAAAGAAGATCAAGTGGATTGTTTATAAGATCAACGATGAAGGAACAAAGGTTGTTGTCGACACTTCCAGCGAGTCGGCAGACTGGGAACCATTCCGTGAGGTCCTCGTAAATGCAAAGGCACTCAACAAGAACGTATGTTTGAAAACTTCTTATTAGGGACCAAGCGCTGATAAAGACTATAGAAAACCCAGGGTAAAGGTCCCAGATACGCTGTCTACGACTTCAACTACGATTTGGCCAACGGAGAGGGACAAAGGTGATTTTACTATCATTTCGCTTTATGGATTGGAGGCTGACATGTTACTAGAACCAAGCTTACTTTCATTTCGTGGTCCCCTGATGATGCTACTACCTTCGTAAGTTCCATCTTATAACATCGCCTTCTAGTACTAATAAATTTCTAGCCTAAAATGATGTACGCCTCTACCAAGGAATCTTTCAAGCGTGCCTTATCCGGACTTTCGGGCGATGAACTTCAAGCAAACGACGAAGCCGACCTCGAGGAGAATGAAATGTTGAAGACAGTCAGCAAGGGTACAGCCGCTCTCAAGGCATAGATACAAGCCTTATGGTTTTGAGAACGAACGTGACAGGAAGGAACAGAGTTTCATTGGGTGCTTATTGCCTGCGATGACATGCATGGGTGTGAATTTATTCTTCTGAAGACGGATTGATCATTTCAGCGTGATGATATATGAAGACATTAAAAGCGACTTTTGCGGAAGTACTCGTTTCTGAACTGGCAAACTTGCCTGTGTCTTTCCAATTGTACATTGCCAAACTCCTCGCTATGTTTTCCCGTGAATTCATGTACCTCATTCGGCGCTACTTTCCCAGGCTTTCTTGAACACTTCATACAATTTGTTTCCCTGTTCTTCATCCCTCAATCGTTGCACCAAAAAGCCCTTCAAATCTCCCCAGAACTCTTCCCCAGCAAGAGTTTCCAGTCCACTAGGCCCTTGTGCAACTGGTGCTTCTACTTCCTTTCCGGGAGTCTCGACTTTTCTCACGGAAGCAGCTCCACCCATTACCATGATACTGAATTCGACCTGGGTTTCCTCTCCGCCAATAACATCTTTCAAAACTTTCGCATCTCCGACCGGTTTCTTGTTGTAAAGTACCCTTAATTTTTCCACGGGGATCCCTTCTTTCTCAGATAATGACTCTTTTAAATTAAGAATGGAAGTATTTGGTGACAGTGCAGAGAGTGTTACGTCGAGAGGTGGGTTTCGCGATGACTTTAAAGATACCGAGACGCTACGTTCTTGTCCCGGATTCAACTTTTGACGTTTCGCAGGAGGTTTTCTCATCTTTGGGAGAATAGCCTATCATACTCGTTAGTATTGGGAGCAATAACTTGAGGTGGAAGGGGTCGTGAGGGACAGGAGACGTGAGTGATGCAAAACGAGGTACACAAAGTCATTAAGGTAGACATACTGCCCCTCTTGAGGGATAATTCCTTGGATCTTCAACATGATCGGCAGTGATTTTGGGAGATCGCGACTCGAGAGTCTGGATGAAAGACTTAGCAAATGTGAGTTCAGTCATTATGAACAATATATGAAGAAGTTGGGTAAGAAGGTCTATAATTCTTCGAAATTCAACTGCGGGCAAAACAAGCTACAGACAATAATAAATAATCAAGTTCACAATTACCACCCCATCTAGCACAAGACAAGATAGAAGTCTTGGCATCGGAATAACGGCGCCCGAGCTTGATAAGTTAAGAGCGCTAAACCTTATCTGCGAGAAAATTATATTCGTCTAGAAAAAAGTTCCCTCAAATCGCATTTGCTGCATTTGCGAATCTTTACATTCAACTCTTAAGTTTCTAGTACGAAAATACGAACAAATCATTCAAAATGGGTGTCGGAAGACGTATGAAGAAGCAGGGCATGCCCGAACCGCTCGATGAAGCACATTTCACCAATCTAAAAAGAAAAGCTGGAATGTCAGTAGCAGAATCTAGAGCAGAATCGATGCAATATGCTCCCGATCCTAATAAGAAACGTCGAACTTCGGAGAAAAAGTCCAATGGAGCTGCCAATGACAAGAAGAACTCGGCGGCACAGAACGCGACAAAGGGAAAATTTACAAACTCGTTACCGGTTCAAAAACCCCCTGCGAAAAAGTCGAAGAAGGCTGCACCATTGCCCATGTCAGACGAGGAGATGGAGGATGTCGACTCTGATGCGGCGGATCTCATGAATGACGAATTTGACGATTTGGATGTTTCAGATGATGATGGTCCTGGTCTTCCAGATGATTTCCTTGGCTCAGAAAGTGGAAGTGATGTTTATGATTCGGATGATGATCATCCAAAAGCAATGTTCTCTGAAGATGAAGACGAGTCTGATGCCGAGGAGAAACTCACTGCTGCCAATATTGCTGGGCTTTCAAGGAAATTGGATCTGCAAAAAGCTGAGGAGGCCGCAGAGGCACAAGCTGAATTGGAGGAAGCTGCTATGCAAACGAACATTGCAGGAGACAGACCACATATATTCGACAGCGACGATGAAGACGGAGAGGCGCCTAAGACTAATGCGTTATTGGCACCTGATCTACAGCTTCTACGATCTCGAATCAACGATACCATCCGAGTCTTGGATGACTTCTCGAATCTCTCCGAAGAAGGTAGATCCAGGGCCGAATACACAGCTCAATTGATTAAGGATATTTGCGCATATTATGGTTACTCAGAATTCCTAGCGGAAAAGCTCTTCAACTTATTCCCGCCCAAGGAGGCTTTTGCATTTTTCGAGGCCAACGAAACCCCAAGACCTGTCGTCATCCGAACAAACACCTTGCGAACACATCGTAGAGATCTTGCACAGGCATTGATCAACCGTGGAGTAGTCTTAGAACCAGTGGGAAAATGGTCCAAAGTTGGTCTGCAAATTTTCGAGAGTGCTGTACCCTTGGGTGCTACTCCAGAGTACCTTGCCGGACATTATATTCTACAAGCCGCTTCTTCTTTCCTTCCCGTGATGGCTCTTGCACCACAAGAAAACGAACGTGTCCTCGATATGGCCTCTGCTCCTGGTGGAAAAACAACACACATTGCCGCATTGATGAAGAACACAGGTTGCATCTTCGCAAACGATAGCAACAAATCTCGTGCTAAAGGTTTGATCGGTAACATCCATCGTTTAGGAGCCAAAAATGTGATTGTGTGCAATTACGACGCTAGAGAATTCCCCAGAGTTATCGGAGGTTTCGATCGTGTCTTACTTGATGCACCGTGTTCCGGTACTGGAGTTATCGCTAAGGATGCTAGTGTGAAGACGAACAAAACAGAACGAGATTTCCTCATGCTTCCTCATTTACAAAAGCAGCTCCTTCTCTCAGCTATCGACTCGGTTGACCACGCAAGCAAGACTGGAGGTTACATTGTTTATTCGACATGTAGTGTCACCGTTGAGGAGAACGAGCAAGTCGTTCAATATGTGCTCAACAAGAGACCAAACGTTAAGCTCGTGGAGACTGGCCTAACTTTTGGTAAGGAGGGTTTCACGTCATACATGGGCAAAAGCTTTGACAAGAACATGAAGATGACAAGAAGATATTACCCCCATGCCTATAACGTTGATGGTTTCTTCGTCTCTAAATTCAAGAAGACAGGTCCATCTCCCAAGATCAAGCCTGGCGAGAAGGATGCTGCGAAGGAATTGGATGAGTTGGATATTGATAAGACACCTATTAGAGAAACTGAGGAAGAGGATGCATTTGGAGGATGGGATGATGGTGAAGATGAAGAGTATATTGTGAAGGCGAGAAAGAATACATTGAAACGAAAGGGTCTCGATCCCAAAGCAGACAAGACAAAGGCAGATACCAAAGTAGAGAAGACCAAGGAGGACGAGACAGCTAAGGCTGATACGCCCAAGAAGGAAATTAAGCAGAAGGCCAAGGAGGAAGAGACCAAGAAGGAAGAGGCCACAAAAGATGAGACTTTGAAGACAAATACCACGAAGAAGGAGAGTAAGGAAAAGAAGAAGAAGGGAAGCAAATCCAAGTAGTGTAGTAATTTTACAGGGTTTGTGATTGGTGTATGAGTTCTTTCTCGGAAATGATACTTGTTGCATATACTGGCGTTTTGGGCTGGAAGGAAAAGAATCAATAGCCTTCTTCTGTTATCAGACAAAATACAAAATTATTAAGCGCACTACATTCAGAGATGGTCTCACTACACTTTACATTTTCTGAAAGGGTGCTTTGGCTGATATGGATCTTTTGAATCTCTCTAACCATTTAGCTCATCCACGTCCCAAAACCCTTATAAAGAGATATATTATAACTAAAAAAGCTAGATATCAATAGTTTAACGTAAATCGTATTATCATACTTCATATATCACCTCTTCTAGATCAAATCTTTTGAAGAAATCCAAAAAATGTAAATTTACATCACTCTTTCATCTCCAAGCCGCACATCTGATGACTGTGAGCCTTTTGCGGTCTAATGATGTCTCTGTCCTTACTGTGTTTAGCCCTCTCGCTCTTTCCGCATCACATACCATTCCATAATATGATATCTCAACTCCCTTGACTATTCTCTACGTAGCTCATCACCTCACAATAAGATTACGAATACGAAGGTCTCGCTTCATCGACACAAATATTCCTCTTCCCTTTAGACAATGGTGTCAGACAGTCACAGACACTTCTGCATCTCCTCCTACAATCTCAGTCCCGCGATACCAAGATATATAAAAATTTCCTCTCACTTGATGGTTGGTCAACTTTCACTACTCATCTTGCGGTTACATCAAGTACAAGAAGGAAAGATTGGAATTGGCTTTTACGGCATACTATACCATGCCATCGCCTGTGAGCTCATATTCGTAACAAAAGCCAATTTGAGTATCTCGCCAGGCTATCAAAAGCAAACACAATCCATTCATCACAACTGGTGCATCGTGTCATCGTCGCCCCCGTACTCCCTCTCATAATCAATCCCAATCACCAATACACTTCTACAAACGAAAAGGGGCCTGAGAGTAACCTTACTGTAGTCATCATCGATAACTCGGCTAAATATCTATCCGACTTTGAGCGGAGCGCTGTGTGTGTGCGCGATGAATGGAGATGCGTAAATGAGGGGTTAGGGTTGGTGTACCTCATGTTTCTTTGTTTCTTATTTTTCTCCCCAAATCATGTCACTGTCACTATCACTATCACTATTAATCCAATTTTATGAGCTATCACATTCCCATAAGGTCACGGTCTGAATAGCGCGTCAATGTAGCGAGTTGAAGAGGCTAGCCAAATTTGTCTTCGTAAGAGTGCAATCAAGCGACTGGCTTGAAATTTGAAGAAGTACGGCCAGCTCGAAAAGGGTCATCACGGATTCGTTTTTCAGATAAGGGACGAGGTTTGAGGAGAGCTATCTCATACTGTGTAGAGTAGATCTAAAATTGAAATTTTTCGTTGGACCGCAGTCTGAATCACTGGAAATCCTCCATTGACACTCTAGTGGCCACTGACGATGAACCCTTGCTGACCTATTCTGATGTGTGTTACACAAGTTGCACTAGAGTCTGTCTTGGTGAGTCTCT